TATAATTATTTAATACTAAGTTAACAATCATATTCTTCCAATGGTCACGATAGCTAACTTGATTTCACGCTTTCTTTATCCATCTTTAGAGGAAGTATTGAGACTTTAACTCGCTCTCTACCTCCCGCCGCCAGAACTATTCCCCTTGACTCATCTAAACACATATTTGTAAATAATTTTCCCCTGCGTGTGTCCCCTCAGACCCCCGGCCGAGCCAGTCTTTACCTCGGGCACGCGTGATGATGGGTTTGGCTTCCCCTCCGGCTACTGTTCCCTCCCCTTCCGCCACCCATCGAGACACAGTGATGCCGCCAGCCTTGCTCAAACCAGCCCTTCCTTTTTTTTCAGTAACCCTATCGATTTTAGGGAAGCTCAAAATATATAACATGCTTTACATATACTTTAATATGTTCGCCCTTTAAGATTGTCAGGTTAAAGTGTAATTTAACATATATTTATCAGTGGAAGCGAATATATGAAGGATTCTGATAAATAATTGTCTGGGACGGCACGAGTTTAAATGTGACGCCACGTGACGTCACAATATGGAACCTGCCGCCTCTTGTTTACCAACACTCGGCGGGGGCTGGTGAATCCCTATGGCTCTCGCCTTGGGCTGGCTACCAGCGAAAATGCAACACTTTAAAGTAACGCACCGATTTAAAATTGTGCAGTTCCATTGTTATATCGGCTTTATGTATTTATTTTATAGAGATTCACCTATGCTATTACGCGTTCAAATCAGATTCAAATTTATAACACACAGGTAAAAGAACTGTACAGGTAAATAATTGTAGTAACAAGAGCAGTGGATTCGTCGTTATATATACTGCACCAACTTGTGAGTCTTGGTTGTCTGAAGTTCAATTTATAAGTCCATAAAAACAGTTTTAACATAAACACGAATATAAACGTATCTAAATACCCATAAACACAAGGTACTGTCGGCTACTGACAAAACAAAACAGATAAAAAGCGACAAAATTGCTCAATAACAGTCCATATTTGTGTACGATAATAATTCCTCGATTTATAAACTGTTGAACCTCGTAGCTAGAAGCATATAAACAAAACAACCAAATGTGATCATATTTCTTACTCCGGCTAACTAAGTCTGATCTTCCCATGACGTTGATCACATTAGTAAGTACATAATAGAAATGTTGGTTGTAGTTCCTCAATATCATCATGAAATTCATTAGTAAGAAGAACATACGTGAACAATTACCTGATGCTCCTACACTGGATGATTAGCTCCTGTATAGTATGAGACAAGTGATCGCGGGCCCTTCGTGCCCAGTGAAAGTTTGAACACTCGTGCTTGGCTAGCGCACAACCGCCGTCCTGCTGACAGAGTGCAGTGAATGAGGGTGCGCCAAGTCCGTAGACTTGCATCGTTTTCCAGCGTAAATAAAATGGTTAATTAATGCCTTCCTAAAGAAACCATCGACATGGGACCAGGTTTGTTCCACTCTACGAATTTTTTGCGATTTTTCCACCAAGTTTGATGAAAAACGATTGTGCCGTTTCGGCTGGCCAGAACAGACAGACAGACAGACACACAGACACACAGCTATTCCTATAGTATTTTAGATTATCCTATTGTGGATTAAAATTTCTGGCTTAGGTGTCGAGCATCGACACTAACACAAACAAAATCCCATTAGTGAGTAGTTATTCCTAGTCCTTATGAAGAGGATCCCATACTTCTCATTCACATACTTCTAGGTATTATCAACAGTTTCGACCTTATACCCATACATTTCCGAAACACATCATAGGAATTACCTTATCTAACAAATTCAGTTTCAGGTCTCGGTAAAATACTGTTTGAAAAGAAGAAATACCAAATGATTTACTAGGATTTACTGTGACATATATACAAGGTACCAGAAGCTTCATATTCAGGTATCTAAATATTTTTCCTTCAGCGCTCAGGTAAATATTACACGTGCTTATGAGATCAAAGGCCCTGTAAAGAACGCTGGTTTTATGGAATTTTGCCACTCGGTACAGTAAGAACGATCTAATGTTTTTAGGTTACATTTAAATACAGTTTATTCCGAATCATAATGTTCAAGTACAAACAGGTTTATGAATTAAATACAAGTACTGTAACATCCATGTGGTGACTGTATCTTTAGAAATATTAGTGCAAGTATAGTTTTGGGTATACTATATTGGTACAAGTTATCCCCCGTGTGGTGACAGTGTGAACTTACCAAAGATATGAAAAATACCAAAATTAACCACTTAATTACTTGCAAACTGAAAGTAGACATAACTAGTTAAGATATAATTTCGCTATACTTAAGCCACAAAGAACAAAGTTTATTTTTTTAGGATATCACATTTCGTTTGACTTATTAATAACATTCCTTCAATATTTGGCGACAATCTAAATTAGAATCATTCAGAATCTATAATTACGTATATCAATACCGGGATAAATTTATAGGGATATGGCGTTGAGAATATTGATAAATAACATTAACCACAAAAATATATATCACAGGCAAATAAATCCAGACGAAACTCACGGTAAATCAAACTAGACATTGATAACTCAGAACCTCAGGACCTAACCTAAGAAAATTAGTTACAGAAATACAGTCAGTAATGTAGATCAATCACGGCAGATATACATGAAACAAAAACATGAAAAGTAGATATCCAAGAGCTTGAAAAAAAAATATAATCAAAATATATAAGCAATCCCTTTTAGTTTCACACACACTATACTAACCTTTAACTACTATATTACAAGGTGGTCGGACAAGTGGTGATCCCATGATTCACAGTATTAAGCAATTGGTGGATTACCCTTCCCCTTTAGCAGGATAATAGCCCACAAACGTAGAATAATAAACACAAATTAACTCATAAAACAGTAAAATATAGTTTAAGTCTCACATTACTATCGTACTAAACAGTAAAGTCAGTCAAATTTGTATTCACATATTCAGACTAATTCAAATAATCAGTCAATTTTCAACCGAAGATATACAATAACTTATTATTCTTAAGGACTATACCTGGAGTGTAGCTGTTGTCAAAAATAATTCCCCTTAAAACCGGAATATGTTTTGTTGTCACCTTTTCACACATGCCTTTGTATTCATTCTTTTACAGATAAAGAAAATTGTCACGTATTGATATCAGTAAATTAAATATAAAACCTGTAAACAAAACAAGTCATCATTTATGTAAACAATGTTGGGTCCTGAGGTGTGTTGGATGAAGTTGCAAGATGAGAAGTAGAATGGGGTAGAAGGGAGTAAAATTGAGGAGGCGAGAGTGAGGAGGAGTACAGTGATGGGGAGGAGTGAGGAGTTGTGTGATGGGTAGGAGTGAGGAGTAATGTGGTGGAGATGATGGTCAAAGTGGAGCTGTGAAAAATACAAAAAAAAAGTATCAGTTGAAAAAAAAACTTGCATTTCTGTGGTCATAAATTTCCCTTGCAAAGTCGATTTTTTCCCCCTAAACCAACATTCAGTCAAGATGAATTAGTCGAATTTCCTGAAAAACGAGGATTTAATATGTAGATAAAATACCAAGAAAGAGAGATAGAGATATGTACAAGCATATGAGTATTATAAGTAGGAGACGTATGATCATACATAAACATATAAAATATACATAAACGGAAGATTATGCACTTAACAAACATACATAGACTCAAAGACTGTAAATATATACTAAAATATAAAGGTAGATTGTAAGAATATACTGTACATGCAAAATCATATATAAATGCTAAAACAAAGAAAATAGTTTTTGCTAATACTGTACTTAGAAATACACAAATAGAAAAAAAATACACAGATATGAGAGTTATAATGTATAATCGTTCATACATAGAGATAATGAACAAACAAAACTTATTTACCTAACCTAACCTAACCTGACCTAACCTGACCTCAGTTGGTGAAGCCTTTTTATAATTAACTCACATAGCAAAAAACACAACACTGAACATTATTTGTAGCAGACGTGTATCAACTCTGCCACGGGTTCTTGTAAACAACACTCTACACAAAATTATGAGCACTTTTTATACAGTGACCAAAACAGTGACAGTGACCAGGACAGTGACGGCGATCAGGAAAGCGATAGGAACCAAGATAATGACAGTGACCAAGACAGTAACGAAGACAGTGACGGGATTCAAGACAGTATAGCGGCCAAGGAACAAGACCATTTAAAGAAGAAGAGATATATTGCTTCTCTCTTTCTCTCACGCCTACAGTTCACCTACCGTGTGCCTCTGCTCTTCACGTACCAGTAACCAAACACTTCTCTCGCTTTACCGCATTACTTGTATAATATCTAACCCTTACTAATTTCGACTGGCATTCTACTCTTAAATTACGTTCATTATATTTTCGCTGTGAAATGATGGTTTACGAAATTAAAATGGAATAATTTTTACTATGCTATCTTATCTTTTTTCCAGATTTGAAAGCCTCTTGTTTATGTCATTTGCATTTGTTTTAATATTTTATAAAATATTTTTGAATATGGTAAAATTTATCGAGGCGACATTTTATATATATAATCGATTTACGTGTCAGAATAAATTTAAATAACTTCTATCACTAATTCACTTGTTTTGCTGTCCTGTTTCCCATGGAGTGAAATATTTTCCCAGACGTCGGAGGCTGCTTGTAATTGGTCACGGTGGTTCGTTCTGGCTCGTGGTTGGTTGAAGCTTAATCGATTAAGAGCTAAACAGCCAACCAGAGTCGCTTATTTCCTGTGGGCGGAGTGTGTTGCATCCTAAGTTTCCTGTGAATCCTAGGTCGCTCGAAGGCTGGTGACGCTCTGGATCAATAATATAAACCAATGGGAAGGGCTTGCGAGGGTAGTAACGCAGTTTTGATTGGTAGGAAATCCATGACGTCAGAGTCACGATAACTGGTACTGGAATGAGCGCCTCTGGATGGTGTTTGGGTGGAAGGGGTCAGGTGGGACTGTCAGCCGGGGGAGGTATAAGGGAGATGAAGAGCCGGGAACCAATATGTCTGCTGTCAGGGCCACTCGGCACTACAATCAGGACGCGCTCTCTCATTGGTGGGCAGGCCGACCCTCCAGCACCCTCGGCAAGTGCACCAGTCGGGCGAGAAATAGATTCGCCGGTATACATCACCGCCATTAAGAGCACTGTCAATTCCAGGAGAGCGGGGGACCCCGTGGCCGAGTCAGAATTTCAATTTTTAGCCCGTGAGCGTCAGTCTTTCCTGACAGAGGACAAAAAGTGGAGGTTGAGAGGCAGCATGGCGGAGGCGTTGGTCGGGTCGGTGGCACCAGTACCTCGCCAGGTCGGCTGTGGTCAGGTCGCACCCCCGTCGCAGGTCACACCGCCCTACGCCGAGTTCTTTACCTCCCTGCCCCAGAGTCACACGCCCCCGGGCCAGTACTCCCACGTCTATACCCACCACCCCCAGCAGCAGCAGCAGCAGCAACAGCAACACCAGCAGCAGCAGGGGCGAGGAGACCTGGGCAGCAACAGCCCCCCTAACAACGTAGGCACTTGTCTGAGCCAGCTGGGGCACGTGGTCAGCCAGGTGGTCAATGCCCCAGTCCAGCTAGGTGACTACGGCAACGCCTTTACAGCTGGTGTCGCGGCGGTGCAGGTGACGGCAGGTGGTGCTGTCCCCGTCAACAACATTAACACCAGCACTAGCAACACCAGCACTAACAGCAGTAACAGCGTCAGCAGGCAGGTCAACAGCAGCATGCAGCAGCAGCAGACCGCCTACTGCGAGGACGAAGAGCTCCCCTCCTGTGCCTTCGCCCACCCACACCTACATGGCCTCCCCTTCCTAGTGCACGGTGAGTGTCTTGTCCTCTTCCAGTACCACCCATGTTGTGTTCTTACCGTATATATATATATATATATATATATATATATATATATATATATATATATATATATATATATATATATATATATATATATATATATATATATATATAAAGAGAGAGGGGGAAGGGGGGGTAGGTAATCCCATCTGTTCAACATTAAAAGCCAGGACATCAGCAACTGTCCAGCCATTTTGTTGTTGTTTTGGTGTTGCCTTGGCATTACCTTGATGCTCCTTGTATACTGTTCAGCAGCCATGACTCTCACGTATCTTCTGACTCCCTCTCAACACTCCACTAAATATCAAGATTCTCCTGAAATTTCCCTAACACTTTGCAGCTCCTCTCTTGGCACAACCCGGGCCTTCCTCTAACTTCCTAACGTTTTCTTGGCACTTTCTTACCATCTTCAGCTGTCACTATCCACGACACAGAAACTCTTTTGACACTGTCTTTTGACCTCCTTGGAATTTTCCTGACATTTTCTTGACATCTGGTTCTCGTGACATATTGAAACAATATTCCCACGACATTATCTCACTCGTACTTCCTGACACTACTTAACAGACATGTGTTAACTGATATTCCTCTAACAATGTCCTAATGCTTTTCTAACACTACTCCAACTTGTCTTGATGTTACCCCGACATTCACTCATAATTCCCCGGCATTTCTAATGATTGTTTTCAATTACCTCAGATAATAATTATTTTTTTTTACATAAACATCGTTATACTTTATCACACAAGCCGTAACAGAGACAAAAAAAACAGAATAATGGTAAAATATAAAAGGTAACTCAACTGTACAAGTATTTCATGTTTCCGCTTAGATGGTCAACACCATTCACCAAGTTTTAATTTCTACACATCGTTTAGATATACAAAATACCTGTAAACTGACGTGAATTATGGTAAAATTTCTTGTTGTCTTAGTGTACATAGTGTCTCAACAGCCAGGAATCTCAAGCACTTAGTAATAAATTAGTTTCTACGGTAGATAAGGAATCATTAAAAATACCCAAAAGATGCCTCTCTCTCTCTCTCTCTCTCTCTCTCTCTCTCTCTCTCTCTCTCTCAATTTCATCTCTAAAAAAGGATAAACTTCCTTCTGTAATTTTTAATAGTTGTTTTGTGAATGAATCTGCTGAAGCACAGAAATACATATACATAACAAAAACTTAATATTCTTAAGAAAGATGGTCGGTTTATTTTTTGTTATTGTTATAAAGTGTTAATGTTCTTCAGTAGCTTAGGCATTTGAAGAACAGATCACTCAGTTTGGTTCTACACGAAACTACTGTACAATCGAATGACATGAGCAAAGGCAATTAAATAAATGATTGTGTTTTTTTTTATATTAATGCTATGATATAATTTTGTTAGGTATCGAACCCTTTCGTCATGTTTCACGCACTTGCCATTTTATTCTGCCTACCGCCAGACGATTTTATTAAGCTTAGGGTCACCTCCCACTATGATGGGTTAAATACATATTCTAGGTTAGCTTATACGAACACTATTCTTAAGTTTTAAAGCCCAGTTAAGTCCTTTCAGTAAATTATGGCATCAGTATGTATTAATGATTTATCTCTGTTACTATACATGTACAGGTATATGTTGGCTGGATACGATTTCTATTCTCCATTTTATGGGATATATGTATTACCATTATTATTATTAGTAGTAGTAGTAGAATTAAACAAAAAAATAGTAGTAGAAGTACAAAAAGGTAGTAGTAGTAGTAGAATTAGAATTAGTAGTAGTAGTTATAGTAGTAGTAGTTATAGTAGTAGTAGTATCATCATACCAAACTTTACCGATGTTTATCTTATTTTTCTATTTTTACGAACTTCCATCGAAGAGACGAATGTTAAGAACCAAAAGACAATATGAAACAGTTTCTACAAGCAAGCGAACTGGCTTAATAACTAAAGCAGATAAATTTTTGCTGACCAAATTATCAAAGGTCAAAGTTCAGGGGTCAATAATGAAAACAACATAATTTAGGCACAAAACCCTCCAGATCTCACATTTGGTAAAGTGTTTCTGGCGCAATGATGGTTAGCTTAAGTTAGGTTAGGTTAGGTTAGGACAATCTTACTGTAATAGGCCTATTGATGATATTTCCATTAATATTTTGATACATGTCTCATATTCATATACCTGTACCTGTATATATAAATAAATCAATTAGAGTTAACATTGATTTTGTTTTCATAACAGATATTTACCTGCAAACGAGATGCCAACATCAGATAAATACCAATTTATCGACCATTAATTAATGTATCCAAATTACTGACTAAAACATATAATGATAATGATATTAATGGAGGATAATCATAAGGTTAAATATTAATCTTAAAGTTAAATTTTGATCTTAAGGTTAGATATTAAAACAACACCTAGAGTCTTGCAACACTGAGAAATTTTCCCAGAGATAAGTGTTGACTGTATATGTTAAAACTGACTCTATTTCCTTTTACACATCCATCGTAATATTAGTGAAATGTTACCTAAATTAGTGTAAGAAAGGTTAGGGTAATAATCATTATCTTACTGTATATTTATAGGATTACTCCAGCTCAAAATTGGGGGAAAATAAGAAATACAGTATATAAAAATTATTGGTATATAGCAAATATCCATAAAATTTACGAAATATACATAGTAGTAGTCGTAGTAGTAGTAGTCGTAGAAGTAAATTAGTAGTAGATCAGTAGTAGATTAGTAGTAACAGAAGTAGTAGTTGTTTCATCAACATCCTAAGTTTCAAATTAGTTAATATTCACGGTATGGAAATGTTTTATCAATACTAGTTTATTACATCTCTAATGACTACAAAAATGTTACATGTGGAAGCGATAGTCCATAGCTCATGTTTAGGTCAGTGCGAGATATTGTCAGGGCTAAATAGAACCTGAATTATGGATAGCAATGTCCGAAGATTTATACAACTTAAATAGTTTATTATTATTATTATTATTATTATTATTATTATTATTATTATTATTATTATTATTATTATTATTATTATTATTATTATTATTATTATTGTTTCACCAGTACGCTATTTTTTAAGTCTTTTGGTATTTTACTTTTATTCTTCGACACTTATTATTTTATGTGACCATTTAAGTGAATTTAACCTTCAGTATACTGTACACAGAACTCAACACCATTACTGATTTGTTCTCTTTTGGCCCCTAGGCGTTTATTTGTATCGTCCCTTCCTGCTCCTAAATGGTTATTAAAGTTATTTATTATTTGTGAGGAGTTAGAGTGTGTAGTGCTGTTGTTGATAATGTTATAATGCTAGTTTACTCATTTACCAGTTTAGTAATAAAACTAGTCACGAATAATTTAGAATTACGGGTAATACATCTATGGTTTCAAACTAATTTCGGTGAGACAAATCATTTCTATATTAGTTCGGTTTAATCACTGATCATGCTGGCAGCTACAATGGCTTATAGAGCAAGATTTCAAACTGTTAGTCGTTATAAAATTAATTACAGAAAGTCGCTTTATATGTAATTATCAAAAAGCCTCTTGTCCTCAGTAACGCATTGTTACAATAAATGATTATGATTATGCAGGTGGATCTATGCTTGAATGGGCCTTTAAGTAAATACCTTGTCAGCCAGTGTAGTTTGTTTCACATCTAGCACCTCTGGGGAAACTGTATGAGGGTTAAGATCACCTTATAGCTAACAGCTCCCTTGTCACATCTTCATTGTGATGGTTTTCATGAGTGACTGTGTTTCTGTTTTTCCTGTGTAAGGAGATAACTCAACACCGAAAAACATAATATAATTTCGGGGTATTTTTTTGTGTGTGTTGGCACCAAAATGTCAACAGTTCGGTTCCTCTTCTGGAGTGAACCTCACAATTTCTCAGCTGCAGAAATAACTTGAGTCAAGGATGGAGTAATTGGTCTCTCCTGCATAGGTGCATAGCCGCTGACTTTCTAGTACCAAGTGGTAAATCGAGAACCAGGTATTGTACTAGTCTTCTGATGCTGTGTGGTGAGCCTAGCCGTGTTCGATACCAGAAGCCTTGTTGTACGGGAGACAGCTGTTGATTTTGTGCATTACTCATCAGTACCCATATGATAAACCGTTCACAGCAGGAATCGGGTTACTCGATACTTTAGTTTATTAATGCAATCGATTATTTACGTCATAACATGATTAATTTTATACATTATAAATACACTTTTGTAATCTTTGTCATTATTTTATGCATTTAAAAGCTTCACCGGCCAAGAAGTTTCAGCACTATACACCACGTATGATGCAAGCTTCAGGGATGTTCTTTTTTATCTTCGGTTTGTTAGTAACATGTTCAGCTGCATCTCTCTAAGCATTCAAGCAGTAATTAACCAACATCTTATTAGACTTTGTGGCGTTACTACATATCGTCCTTATCCGTCTGGTTTATAAGCTGTGGCGTGCAATATTAAGACTATACCTTATACTTTGACAAATATTACTTAGCTTATGTTCAACGGTTTTTATTCGAATATCTGATAATAACTAACGGTTCCTTTGTTTGACCTTTTTCTTGAATTACCCCAACCTACCCTGACACATGCTGACCTAACATCATATCTGGCGCGTCTATCAAATAGCCTCTGCGTCCTGTGTCAATCCCCAAATGGAATGAGTAATTCTTCTTAATTACCCATGAGTTCATTATTCTTAGTGATTTGCCATTCGCGTCCACCCAGGAAGTAAATTTACACTAACATTACGTAAATCAAATACCGCTAACGACCGGCATTTGGCGAATAACCACATTTATGGTCCCAAAAACCCCCTTACTGAGATTTTGAAGATGTCGTTAATAACTAGAGTAATTTCCATTCCAACCTAGCCTGACCCATCCTGATCCCAGTTAACCTTTAATATCAAACCATGCAAACCCGTGACCTAATTAATGTAGCTTATTCTTACGTTTAGTATAGATCAATGACTTTCTTGTTCCTCTCGGTGAAAAAAAAGAAGAGGTGAACTTGGCGGGCGTGGCAGGTTGGGTCAAGATGGAGGTTGCGCGCCCAGATCAATAACACGTCTTCTGCTATCCAAAATGGCGAATGAGAGAGCCACAGTCTAGCTCTCTTTATGCAGGGGCTAGGACATATTACCAGAACTGATGTTTGGGATATTTGGACATTATCGTTGTGTCTTTATTCTTATCTAAGTCTTCTTCCTTGCCATTTTGATCATCTCTATCCGTTTGTGCATTTGATATCTTCTATTTAAAATATAAGCAATGTGTATGACAAAAATTATCTGTTTCTTTGTTACTGCCGTTATTAGGCAAAACACACATACACATTTTTCCTTCATTCATTGTCCTTCATATATCCTTACTGCTGTACAACTTGTGTTTCCTTATGAACCTCTCCTTCCACAACATGGCCCTTATTTACTTTAATATTCTACTCAGGCAAGTTAGCATCACCCATTAGGATAAAATCCCTCCCCAGAATCACTCGACGCCTTGTTTTGCTCAATAATTCCGCTGCACATTGACATCTTTACCTCCTTTGTTATAATTATCCCTGTACATATCTCAATCTACATAATATTGTTTTTCTTAACGCTATTCTGTGGTACAATTCGTCACTTATCGTTCCATATGCTAAAAAAAATCCACTACCATATAACTGAAACTGTCCTTCCTATTCCTCCACTTCGTCTGTATTCAAGTTAATATCAATTTCTCCCAGTATCTCTAATTGCTTTATTTTATATTTATTCACATTCACTATAAACATCTTCAACATTCTTCTGAACTCACTGAATCACTACCATTTTACATTGTACATCATTATTCAACATACTTACACACTTCTCTTAGTCACGCTTCTTTTCACCATAGCAACAGCACACATCCTTAATCAATGTAATCCCAGTTCACCTAACACACTCTTCGTTCTCTCTATAAAAAAAAATCTAGATAATTTCCTATGTACCTTAAACATTTTTCAATAGTTTTCACATCGTTTTATTCTATTTAATCTATCATTATGTTTGTACTAAATCCAGAATCTTGATCCACACTTCCTCTTTCTTTTCTAAACCCACACTTTTGTTTTCTCCAAATACAGTCACCTATTTTGTTACAATTTTCTGGATGTTTTTCTGCTTTATGTAATTTCGTTATTGTAATCGACAGACGTATTCCTCTGTATTTTTTTATAGTCATTCATATTTTTTTTTTATAAGAGGAGACTATACATGTTGATTGCTATTTATCTGTAACCATTTTCTGTCACACTTTCCAGTAAACTTTTGTCATCTGTAGAAATATTTGCGCTCTCTCCCTTTCACTCTCATTTTTCTACAATATATCCGTTTCCATATTTTATCTTGTTTTTGTTTTTCAGCCTTTATAATTCCCTCTAGGACACCTTCTTATTTTTCTCTATAAACTTGTGACAACCTCTGCCCCATCTTTCATCTTTAAACCTGTACTCTAAATAGGACCATATATATTATAGAGAACAACTAAAAACTATGGAAAGTAACTTTTTTTTTATGGGTTAATATATTTGTCTTGAAGTAAAATGGATGTTATAACTAAATTAACTTTGGAAATATGCGGTAAAACAATACAACAGGGCGACCTATTATAGCAATCCCTTGAGAGTAATTGGAATCCGGTGCAAGACTAAAAAAAAAATGCTGTTTTTTCCATTACGTGCGCCATATTAACGTAATCGATCTGACGCTCCGCCGAATGAAAACATAATATATATATATATATGATGACTACCATATTTAAGTAACTATATCTTTATATATCTTACTTTTTTTTACCAGGAGTAACTCGGTGTTGATTTGTTTCTCTCCGCCTGAGCGCGCTTGAGTATTCCCGTAAACAGTATAATGTTAGGGAAAAGCGGCGATTTTTTTATGTTTCTCCACCGGAATCCTATTATTCTCGAGGTAAGAAATAACTTTCCTTGTAGGATTTTTTTTTGTAGGATTGTTATAGTAGGTGCGACCCTGTTGAAGTACCTCACATTTTCTACTTGCTGTACATACAAAATTCCCCGTACAGTACATACAAAAAAATATATACTGTATATTTACGGATGGAATGGAAAATAATTATCACGTTCATTACAAAATAAGTTTACATATTAAGCCGATTAACATGGTGTTAAAATATGTAATGTTGATATTCTAACTTCTAACAATGATTAAAGATGTTAAATTCGACAATTGTTAAGATATTGTACGAAGTTAGATGCTAATATTTCCTACAGTCGGTATTATCGAGCTATAAACACTCCTACTGAAATCTCGCTGAAATTCGGTCCCGTACAGTGATATGCCCGCTTGTTTGAGTTATATCTCTGTATTCCTGGTTTATATATTCACTTGATCTGATAACTGTTTCTCGATAATCTGCAAAGTAAGTTTCGCTGGACTTCGTATTTCTGCCTTAACTTTTTCCGCAACTTCATTCCAACAAGAGCACGTGACCCTAACTAACCTTTGTTGACCCACAGGTGATGATGGTGAGGACGAGTACTACACGACGGGGTCTCCGTATCGTGTACAACGTCACGCCGCCAACATCAGGGAGAGAAAACGCATGCTCAGGTGAGTACACTGACCCCAACAAATGACCCCGTCTATCTGTTGACCCCCACCTGTTGACCTCGTCTAATTGTTAACCCTGTCTACCTGTTAACTCACCTGTTGACCCTGTCTATCTGTTGACTCCCACCTGTTCACCCGGTATACCTGTTGACCTCTACCTGTTGACCCCCGTCTACCCGTTGAATCTTTCCTCCATGTTGACCCCCAACTTTGTTGACATCGACCTCGTTTTGACCCTAGCCTCTCTGTTGATTAACCTCATCCGTAACGTAAGTAATAAGAATTTTTTTAGTAATATCCTTTGATTTTATTAATGGTCAACATCACATAACATTCCTCTGTAGCGATAAATTGTTTTGTCCTTTGCATCAACAGACAAAAGTAAAAACTACCATGTAAATTATTTATGAGAAAAATGTAAATATAATATACCACGAAATACACACCCAGGCTATTATTGATTTTTATAATTGTCTCTATCCTCCTCCTGCCATCCCTCATTACTAGTTGTTATAATACTAGTCCGGACTCCTCCCCCAGCAGTATAAACTCAGCCTTCGAGGAGCTGCGTACACACGTGCCAACTTTCCCCTACGAGAAGCGGCTCAGCAAGATTGACACCCTGCGCCTGGCCATTGCTTACATCGCCCTCCTGCGGGAGCTCCTAACCTCCGACCTTGATCCAGTCACTCACATTGAGAAGGGACTCCGAGGGGAACTGTCCTCAGACCAGTGTCACATGTGGAACACCAGCGGTCAGTACCACTGCCGTGTTACTTTACTTTGTGTTATAGTACCTGTTTATCTTCATTTGTCTCTGTCTTCACCAATCAATCAATTTCTCGGACCACAATCCCTTTTCTCACACCCACGAAAGTTGTTATTGGAACATCAATGACTAAGTGACTTTCTCCCTCTCTCTTATAATATCACATGGATAGGAATGGAGGATAGACGCGTGCAAGTTAAGAGCTCTTAGGCTACTTCTGCTCATTGTACAGTCTCTCTCTATCTCACTTGCTCAACAAACTAACAAGCTCCAATATTCTCCCTCCCACAGACTTGACGGCCCGCCTCTCCTGGATCAACTGGGAGAACCTAGGAGTGAGCCCCAGCCGACGATCCATCTTCTCCTCCATCTCGCTTACCTCAGAATCCCTCAACAATTGATCACAATGATTGAGGGGAGGGAAGATAAAGGTCAGGCGTCACAACATGGCGAAGAGACTTGTATGAAACGTCCAAACGATCAAACGGTGTAAAACGGAAGAGAGAAGATATACCTTGGCCGTCATACAGGAGATAGGACTTTTACATTTTATGTTACGTAAAGTTGGGAAGCTTTACTCTTGGCCTTAACTAAGAGTGACAACACCTCTCCTTGGCGTCATATCGAGAGGACAAAAATACAGGTGTCACATTATGGTCGTTTAGCTGAGGGGATGGGTGAAATCTCCCAGCCGTTGCGTAACACAAAGGAAGCAACATGTTCATTGTTGACATTACAAGTGCTGTCGAGACGTGTACTGTATTTTCACTTGATGTCTTGCAAGATTTATGGACGCCTGAAGTGAAGAAATTTTTGAAAACTATACAAATTGTTTAGGCAACGGTAAAAAGTGACGTAAATATCAATTTGGTTTATAAAGGTGTTAAGAATTCAGAAATATGGTTGAATGTGCTGTTTAAAAGTCAACTTTATCTACACAAACGTAAATTAATACTGGAAATACGGCGACAGGAACTATATACCCCCATTTGTCCGTTTAGTTTATATAGTAAATTATTAATAACAATGGCAAAGAAACGTACTAAAGAAGTTAGTTTTGTTTATATTTGTGAAAGAATTGTAACCAAACTAATTTAGATGTATGACGAAAAGTTCTTACAATACTGCCACAACTTTTATCCGTTCAAACCGAAGGCAGTAAAAGTAAAATACATATATTTAATACAGATTAAACCGCTGTGTGATTCCTGCAGTGAACTAACTTCTTTGGGACGTGCAAAATCAACAAGTGATTAGTTTATTTTTACCTGAATGTGTAAATATTTATGTTATATATCAGTGAATACTTTTAAGTTGCTCTCCTCTTGAAGCTTCCTGTCATAAATGTGTATCAAGATATGGCATTTATCCCACTAAACATACGTCCTCCATCATGAAGTAATTTGTCTCATTGAATTTGGTAGCTAGCAAAGGTGTGCAACAAGGGGTAAAGGAGAGTGGTGGATGACGTGTTTATCTTGGAATCACAGTTTCGTATCAAGATGAGAAACTTCTACAAAATAATATTGAACTTAATACGATCCCAACTTTATAGCAAGATTTGAAATTCCCCCCAGATAATAGAAATATTGACAAAATACGGAGAAAATTGCCTTGTTTAACTAATGATCTCAGTTTTGTTACCGAGCTCAGAAACTTACCCCGATACACGTTACTTAATGATTTAACACACTGATACATAACACAGGTGAAATTCCAACATCAGAAGTGGGAATTCCAAGACAAACTCACCTGTTATTTACTAATCTAAATTAACAACTGAATATATTTGTGCTCCAGTGAATTTAAATGCTTCAACTGCCAAGGTCATTAAATGTCTTAGTGTTTACGCTTAAACATCACCTCCTGAGAGTTAATAAACATGTCCTTAAAATTCAGGGCACTTAAGAATTCGTACTTCATCACACCTTTTGTAAATTCATATTCAGAATACAACAAAGACAAAAGTAAGTCCTATGAGAAAAAAACATGACTTCTACATAATATAAAACTGTGTCGGTATTTATAGTCATAACTGTTATTAATACCAAAGATTATGTCTAGTCACAGTGTAATAGTTGTATGTTATTTATATAATATTCTTAAATGTGATAACTAGAGTATAATTCTGTATGCCATAGATGAGTTGTATAGATCTATTTCTAACTTGTTGTATGTAATAAATCAAATTAGTGATGCGAGAGTTTTATTTATCTTTATCTTACTTTAAAATCATTTCGTATGTATGTATGATAATAATAATAATAATAATAATAATAATAATAATAATAATAATAATAATAATAATAATAATAATAATAATAATAATAATAATAATAATAATAATTACTAATGGTTTATTGAAAATACAGTAGCCAAAGTTGAAAATATACAAGTGTCTGTATGTAATAATAATACTTAACGGTTAATCGTAAAGAAAAACACAAGAGCTAAAGGCTGAAAGAGTATATTGAACAAAAATTATATAAATTACATAACTAAGATGATAATTGGAAGCAACTTAACAGTGCTGCTTAGCTGGACCATAATCCGTGATATTAACTATTTAGTGTATTATATTAAGGAAGAAAGAGGTGATCCTCTGTGTGATATTTCGGTAATACCAAATCTGATGAGTGATGAGCTTACCAAGAATGCGTTTCTCCATTGCCTTCGTGAAGTTATGCAGGTGTTTGTGTAGCCATGTACACTTGTGTGTGTGTGTGTGTGTGTGTGTGTGTGTGTGTGTGTAGACGACCTCACCCTTGTCGCTCACAGTGAACACGACCTTCAGGAAATCCTGAACGCCTACGCAGATGCGTATGCACACTTCGGCTTTAAGGTGAATGTACGTAAGACTCAGATTCTCTTCCAGCCTGCCCCCTGGTTCAGCCACACCTCCACCATCCATCCAGCTTAACGGTACTACCCTCTCTAAAGTTACCCACTTCCGGTATCTCGGCTCCCACCTGTCCACCACTGCGGACATCTTAAGCCTTTGGCAGACTCCGTATTCGTGTCTCCAGCTGTAGGGAGCTAAAATTATCTACAAAGTTGCACGTATATCAAACAGTGATCCTCCCCACCCTGCTATATGGCAGCGAAACATGGGTCACATACAGGAGGCACCTCAATGCACTTGAAAATTTCACCAATGTAGTCAACGATTCATCCCCCAAGTCGCTGGGAAGACAAGAGAACAAATGCCAGTATTCTCGCTGACACCAAATGTAGGAGCATCGAGGCTACCATTATTCATGAACAACAACGTTGGGCTGGCCATATTACTCGCATGGACGACAGTAGACTGCCAAAGCAGCTTCTTTGGAGTCTCCTAACGAATAGTAAACGTAACGCTGGCGGGTAACTGAAAAAGTATAAGGATAGTCTTAAGACAAACCTGAAAAAGTGCTAAATCGACCCCCTCACCTGGGAGACAATTACTCCACACCGTAACGCTGGAGGAGCACCACACAAGATGTCAATACTTTCGAGTTAGCCCGACTGCATACCGAGGCAGACAAGCGCCAACGCCAGAAAGACGCTGCCGCCGCCCCTCCCGCACTAGATGTAGCCCTCCACATGTGCAATATCTGTGAACGACTCTGCCGGTTCCGTATTGGCCTCTTTAGTCACCTTAAAACTCACCAACGAAGGTGACATCCTTAATAACATATCATTGTATGATAGCTGGATGATAGTAATACTCGATTCCGAGTGACAGCAAAGTAGTAGTAGTGTGTAAGGATGTGTGGTCGCAGGAGAAAGTAATAATGTCTGTTCGTTATCCAGATTTTGCATGTGGGCGTGTGTGTGTACACCTCTGTGTATTTGCTTGAGTGTTCATGGTGGTTGACTCTCCTGTTCGAGGAGGGTCGGCTCTATGGCCACCTTATCACCTGCAGACCGATTCTCAACATTATGTATAGTAGACATGTATTCGTATCTTTATATATGTTTGATCAACTGATATTTAAACTCTATTTTTATCATCAATATTCTTGACCTGATGAGACATGAAAAGAGGGAGAGGAGACAAATGGAGAGAGGGGAAGGAACCTTGAGAGAGGGAAAAACAATTTCAAGAGGAGAGAAATAAAAGATAGAGAGAAAGGCAACGTCCCAAAGTCACACGAACACATAACCAATTAAAATCATCGTTTCTCTCTTCTCTCTCTCTCCATCATCGAGAGTTTCCCAGACTACAGCACCAGCCCACCCGATCACTATCAGGTCCAGTGTTTTGCTGCCATTGTGGGTGAGGTTGGTGCAGCAGTGGACCGTACTACTCTCCAGATGGGAGTTGCAGATAATATAAGATAACTCAGGGAGAAGGGGGCCGTAAGAGAAGAGGTGGAAGAGGGGAGAGAAGTGGTTCGAGATGAAAAAATAATGGTAAACAGGAAAGATGAGAAATAAAAATATGGATGATCATATACAGTATATATATATATATATATATATATATATATATATATATATATATATATATATATATATATATATATATATATATATATATATATATATGTAAGCAGGGGTGAGTACAGACTGTACTCACCCCTGCAGATGTGAATTACACGAAAGCGCTTGGGAACTTCGTGTTTTCTTCTTTCCTTGTGGTTATCAGCATATACCTAGATCATTTGTGGCCCACCTTAAGTCAGTACACCTCCAAGATGCAACCTTTACAATGTTCCGAGTTCACCAGTGCTGCCTGTATTTACGAGATGCCTGGCAACCCTACCATTAGGTATGTAAGGTAAAATGAGTCGTGTATTGTTTAGTTAACAAGCATTTTTTTCCGAAAGTCATGGAAACTTGAGGGTGCAACTTAAGTGTTAAATTGTAATGTTTTGACTGCTAAGCTTAATATAAAAAAAGTTAGGTCATGAATTTGTAAATGCATGCCTGGTATTAAATTCCGTTACTCAAATATTAGCAAGCCAAAGTTATCTGATAACCTAAAAAAAAAACTAGGATGAAACACACGGGTCCAGTTTATTGACAAGACGTTCGACAATATATAATTAATATAAAGTTCGGTAAGAGTCACCATGATCTTAAGCTCGGGAGAACATTCATCGGTTGTAACTTGTGTCTCAGCAATCGGCACCCACGTTATTGTAGCGTGAACTGTCACTGTGAAATAAAATTCCTTCATCCCAGGAACTGTGGAGCTCCAGTGATGGTATTTTATTGCCAGCGTCATTGTTATGATAAAAAAGTAAGTGTAGGTATGAGAGCTGTCGTTTATCAGTGATTACAAGTAACATAAGCTAAATAAACACCGGTCTCACATATTATAGGGGTGAAACTAGGGAAATACCTTTCCTTGTTCCTTTTGCACGAGATTTTGATGAATTACCCAAACGTTTGGTTAGTGTTTAGCATAGAAATTTAGTGGCGGAGTTGAGAAAAAACAAGTTTGAGTATTACTAATAAAGTACAGTACACTAAAAGAACCAATTAAATAGTGCATAACTCCGTAATCCCAGTATTGTATAGTGCTGTTAAAGTTACCGTAGGTTGGTTTTGGTATTTTTCAACAACAATTATGAAACTATTTTGGTAAAGGTGCAGGAGACGAAAATACACCAGAAAAACTTATGAAAATGCGCTAAAATTTCTGGAGAAGTTATATGCATGATACTAAATAAATGGAAACGACAATGCACATAACCTATCAGAACCTGACCTACCTAACCCAACCAAACCTACCTAGTAACCTTATCTAACGTCCTAACCTCTGTAAAAATGAAACAATTCTATAAACTTTGGGTGATAGCCATCTCTTCCACTATTACCAAGTTTTCCTTGTTTCCTGAAAGATGTTTATGCAATAATAGTGTCATAGTGTCCAAGCTTTTGAACTGCAGATAAGAAATGGTAATAGTCTGGAATAGTATGTATTGCAGATTGCTGAGGATCTTGAGAAAATTTTCTATAAAAGAAAACTGTAAAGATTCATTTAATGGCATAGTGGAAATTTTTAATTAAAACTTTGGTTTGTCTTCCCTGCATTTAGATATCCAACCTAACCTAATCTAATCCACCTAACCTAGCCACAGAATCCAGGAAACTTTACTAACCAAGGCCCCCAGAACCCCTCCACCTCCCTTTCTGGTGGAGGTTAAATTCCTAAAATTACACAGATGACCAAAACCTTAATAATACCTAATTTCATTAATAAAATGGGTTTTTCTTATTTTGTATGTTGTTATAAACGAAAATTACTTTTATTTCCATAGGAAATGCATATTTTAAAAGATACTACAGGTACATTGTTAACATTTGCAATGACAATTCATTCTTCCAAAATGTACAGGGCTTTGAAAATTAGGGGAAATGTGAAGCTAAAACACACACACACACACACAAAAAATACTTCAGTGACTGGAAAAATTAGATGACTTATCATACACTGTGTTAGATGAAACAGCCCAACTTACCTAACCTGCCTATCCTAGGATGGAAGTACAGTACTGTACACTATTTTCGGTTAAGTTAGGTAAAGTATGGAAAGGTTGTCGCTGGGAAGCATTCAGTTCTTCACTGGGAAGTTGTTTTCAACAGTTAAAGCATAAACAAAAAAAATGAAAGAATACAACTTTCTTACTTATCAAATGAGAGTAAATGAACAAAATTTAGAAAATCAGGCTGCTCAGGCAACTGGGTCAGTGACTATTGGTGGAGTAGAATCTACTTGTCCCTTAGGAGTTTGAGGAATAAATTGTATGAGGATTGTAGGAAAATTATGATACAATGAAAGCTTATTTATTGACTTAATAGCTTTATGAGTGTTAAGAGAATAATGAAGTGAGTTAGTTAAACAAATAAGCATATTGTTCGTAACTAAAAATTTTTGTTCATACAGTAAACCAAATCATAGGAAAAAAAATGTATATAACTTCGATTTTTGTAAACTGAAACTTTGTAAATCAGTGACTGCCTTGACAGTGAAACCTCGTTAATTTGTATTCATTGGGGGAAAGGTGATTTGGATTACTGTAGCAAAATATCTGGATTATTGCAAATTTCTAAGCACAAAGGCCTACCACATTGAAATACAGTCAGTGGTAAATTAACAGATGTAATGAAAAATAAATAAAATTATAGCCTGTAAAACACAAATAGCGGTGATTACCCTGTACTGTACTTCTATAAATAAATGCTTACTTTTAATTCCAAAGAGCCCCTGGATCCTGAAGGTAGTATTGAGGCAATAAAGGTAGATTGTGTGGGGTCAGTGAGGGGCAGTTGTTTTCCCACTTATTATAATGTGTACAGTACTACAGTATAAGTACTGTACAGTGGGGTCTCAGAGTACACTAGGGTTAAGTTCCTGGGATCCCCACATACAGTAAGTGCGAATTCACATATACAGTATTCAGGTCCCTCTGTATATACTGTATACAGTAACTATAACCTTTTTTTTCTTATACTAAGTTATCCTATAAGAATTCAAATTGAAACTCCTTAGTACAGTATATAGGTCCAATTTCTTGACTTTTTCTTCAAAAATCTTCACCGTCCAGAACAGTAATATGCACTGTTTTCTTTTTCTCACTCTCACTACCATGAGCACTGCCTGCCCACTTTTTGGATATGACAGGCAGAGTAACCCTGCACAAATTTGTTAATTATCAAATAACCAGTGTAGCCCTACCCAAATTTGATATACTTTTATGACAGAGAAGCAGAGTAGCCTATGAGAAGAAAAATTTTCATCCTTCAAGAACTGTACCATTACATTATGAACTAGAATATTGAGAAACTGTATGCTCTAAATGTCGACTTGATTTGAAATTTACATTAATGAATAATAGTCCAAAGTTTCCTTATTTTGTTAATGCAGTGAAATATCTGTTATCCAGAACAAATGGAGCAAAGCACTTCCAGGAATGAAAGATTTCCTAGTAACGAGATGACTTTCAAACCCTGAAAAAAAAATCCCCCATCACTGGAATTTTCCAGATATTGAGAAAATGTTCTCAGAATTTTCCAGAAAATGTGCCCATCGGAAAATTGCTCCCAAACCAAGAATTTTCCTGAAAATTTTGAGCAAATTTAAATTCCAGCTGTTGGAGAGTTCCGGTTAAGAAAGATTCCGGTTAACGGAGATATTACTTTTATTTACCCTGCTATTGTTTGTTATGTATATTATTATGATAAGAGTCTGTATTTTTCAGTACACGACTAATGTGGTTTCTTGTAAACCTGCTAAGCAAGATGTTGTCGTGAATGGCAAAAAGAAAAAAATTGACTGTTATGAAACAACATTTGAGGACACTGTGATGTTTCCTGAAGGGGGAGGTCAGGTAAGGACAGTACTGTAGTCAAGTGGTATGCAGGTTTATTCCACTTATTGTGCACTAACTGGAGACAGAAGTGCAGTATAGTAGCTACAATATTAACCTGTAAAAATATGTTAGTTTAATAATGTAATATCTCTGTAGTAGGGTTCATAACATGTAATACAGTAATGCACCTAGTTCTGGTATTGCTTACTCTAATGTTAATAATACGGTACTGTACTGAACAGTATAGGGCATGTTCATGAAAATAGTCCATTAAGTTTAGGAATTTTGAATTATGGCATACACTAGTACTACAAGAAATCCAATTAAACTTTTGTTACTTGCCATTGATAACCAAACCTAAACTAACTTAACCACAGCTTTTACCAAAAGGTTTAGCATTGTGTGAATCAAGTTTTGAATGGTTATGAAAATGGCGATGTTCCAAAAGTGCAGACAACGTAAGTACAGAACAGTATTGTTGAAGTACTGTATCCCCAGTATGTTGCCATAAGGTACAATATTAGATTTACAATTATGTTATCTTAGATGTTGACTATACTGTATTTGCTTCTGATAAGTTGTGATTTTAAATGTTAACATAATGTAAACCATAAACATAATTTATTTCCCGTTTCCCTTCTTTAGCCAGATGACCGTGGGACAGTTGAGGGTATACCTGTATTGCGTGTTCAACGAAGAGGAGGAGATGCAGTGCACTACTTGGAAAAACCACTTGAAGTGGGAGCCATAGTCACCCAACAGATTGACTGGGATCGCAGACATGATCACATGCAACAGCATTCTGCCCAACACCTTATCACAGGTAAATTTTGGAGCCTACATTCCAATGGTTTACTCAAGCTAAATATCCCTCAAAAGCAAAATACAGTAGGTATGTATGAAACTTGGTACCGTACAATGATATCTCCGTTAGCCGGAAAAATTAGTGCAGGGCACTTCCGGAATTGAGAAATATCCGGGTAACAAGACGACTCTCTCAAACCCCCAAAAATCCCTCATCCCCGGAATTTTCCGGGTAACGGAAAGTGTTCTCGGTAGTTCCAGAAATTGCCCATTACATCATCTCTCGAACCCGGAAAAATATTCCCCATCCCCGGACTTTTCCAGGTACCGGAAATTTTTTTCAGAATTTCCGGAAAATGTGCCTGATTTTCATCTCTCAAACCCGGAAAAACACTCCCCCATCCCGAAATTTTCTGGAAAATGTGCCCCTCGGAAAATCATTCTCAAAATCGGAACTTTTCGGAAAATTATGGCTTTGGGAACAATTTTCCAAGAAAATTTCAAATCCAGCTATCGGAGAGTTCCAGGGTTGAAGGATTCCGGCTAACAGAGATACAGTATTACTAGTACAGTAGTTTTATCCCACATTATACGTTTATTGATTTATGTTGAATTGCAGTATTCTATGGGGTTTCTCCATGTGATTTTGTAAGAAACCTATTTTCCTCAGGTGCAGTATCAAAGATAATTAATATGTAAACTTTTTAACAGGTAAGAAAGAGGGAATACGGTAGGTAACAGGAATTTCTTGTAGCCTTTTTTCATAGCTGTTGACATGATCTCTTGATAGGTCAAAAATGGCTTCTACTTACAAGGCTTTCTGTTTTTAGAGGACAACATTTACACCTAATCTCCCCACTTTGAGCTGATGTGAGTTAGGTGGTTTGGGGATGAATGATATTTATTATTTCACCATATAACAGCTTACTACCCATTTGGGTGGTTGCTCTGTTCTTTATTATATTAAGACTTTTATTTCCAGCACAGTATTCATAACAGAGGAAACCAGAGTAAAGGTATATACCTGGAGAAAACTGCACAATGGTCAGAACATAAAATATCCTTTTCATTACAGTTTTTTAGATGACATTATCAACAGTTAAAATAGTTGAGGGCACAAAAATTAAAGATTTCAACAGAGTTGCTGGAGCTCTACACTATTTGGCTGTCCCCTATTGACTGACGAATTGGTGCATAAAACATGTGGTGGCCACGTCCTTGTCTGTTAGACGGAATATCTGTTATAATGCGGTCCATTAGATGGAGGCTTCAACATACAGTACAAAATCTAATATTCTATTTTATTTTACAGCTGTAGCAGATGCTATGTATGGCTATGCCACAAACTCCTGGTACTTGGCAGAGTCCATTTCCTATATTGAGTTAGACACTACAAAGGTTTCTACTGCGGAAATCAATACAATTGAAGAAACTGTCAACCAGAGGATCAAGGATGCTACACCAGTTCACATAGAAGAGTATGATGCCACAGACCCCAAGCTGAGAGAGGTGTGTTGTAGATATATTATTTATATTATGTAATTGCTTGTACGTACTGTTCAGATATTTTTGTTTCATTGCAAAACAAGTACAGTACAGCACAGTACAGTACACAGTATAGCATAGAATAGCATAGCATAGTACATGTATACAGTAGTATAGAATGGGTATTTTCATTGACCATCAAGCGTTTTTCTTATTTATCGATAACTATCTCTCGTATTGGTATGCTTTCTAATTAATATATACATTTTATTTATAGTCATGTTTCCTGTACATTAGTAAACAGGTCACTTAAATTTATTATTACTGTATTTTGATGAGTACTGTATAAGCAAAGGTTTAGTTCGTAAAAAAAATGGCAGAAGTGTGGGTGCAGCTTACTCTTGGATACAAATTTTAGTAATTCCTCAAAAATACTCATAACTATTAACTTCATTCCTTGTGTGTACAGTGATCCCTCGGTTGACGAGTTACCTTCCATAAGATTCTTAACTTCGGTTAATGAGCAATCGCTCGATTAACGAGTTTTTTACGAGCCGACCTCAACATGTTTTCGCTTGCATTTGGCGGTCCACCAGCTGTAGTATTTGTCCGCCAATACAGTAGTCAGTTTTAGGGCTTAAATTCCTTACTATTTTAGTAAATATCAAGAAGTTTACACTATTCAATAATTTTAAAAGTTTAATATTAATTTTTTTAGTCATTTTAACAATTACTGAACATAATTGAAGGTAAAGAAACTAGTTTCATGTGCGGCATCCAGCCTGACAATACACCAAACAGGCGCCAGTCTCTCTGTCTTTTCAGTGGAGGTAACATCTTGCTTGAGACTCTTTTCAACTAAATGCTTTTTTCTGTGTTTGCAAGCAAATTATAAGTCATCTTGAAATTTATTTTACATATTGACAATATATAATGCAGTGCAGTGTTGATTTAAAGCAAATAATCTTGCATTACACAAAGAGAACTAAAATTTTATGGGTGAAATGGCGCCATGGGGTGACTTCTCTTCCACCCCAATGCCTTCTCTTCTCCCTTCTCCTCAACCCCCATTCTAATTCTCATCATCATCAGCATCATCAGCATCCAGGAGCCTTCTACATAGACACCTCAAAGTAAGTGTACTTTTCTACCTTTTTTGTTGAATTTAGGCAATTTTCGGTGAGCTGGAACCAATTACCCAAAAACCCATTGAAACAATGGTTTCGGTTAACGAGTTTTTCAGTTAACGAGCAACCTGCTGGAACAGATTGTGCTTGTTAACCGAGGGACCACTGTACTAACATTACCTTTAACCGGTCCCCACCACCATTATTACCTCACCTTAAGTCAAAATTACCATCAGTTCCACCAGTACTACCTTCATTGCAACATTGAACTCTTCATGTTGTCTGCCCATACTTACTATGTCCGAAACTCTCAAAGTATGAGTCAAACTTTAAATCATTTACTCATATTAACGTGACTATAATTGTTTATTCTCTTTACATAATAAAAAAAGATTATTATTTGTATGGTAGATTTAGGAGGGTAAATCTCTGTATTGTACATTACAAGATGAACATATGTTCCCATTATTGAGGTTTAGGAAGTGAACAGTTATAGGCAGTTACTGTGCTAACATTCTACTATCCTAATTTCATGTAATTGGAAAATGGAGGCATTGGAAAGGGTTGTGGATTTCCACATACATTAAATACTGTAATATGTTATCAGGCCACTATGAAAGCTTTTCAAATTCATAATACAGTGATGTTCCTGTTAGCTGGAACAATTGGTGCAGAGCACTTCCGGGAATGAGAGATTTCCGGGACACAAGACGACTCTCTTAAGGCCGGAAACAAATCCCTCATCCCGGGAAATTTCCGGGTAATGGAAAAATTTTTCTCGGAAGTTCCAGAAATTGCCCATTACATCATCTTTCGAACCTGGAATTTTCCTAGTAACAGAAAATGCACCTGATTTTCATCTCTGAAACCCGGAAAAAACTCCCCCTCCCGGAATTTTCCAGGTATTGGGAAGATTTTCTCGGAATTTTCTGGAAAATGTGCCCCTCGGAAATGCGTTCTCAAAGCCGGGATTTTCCGGAAAATTCCGGCTTTGGGAACGATTTTCCAAGAAAATTTCAGTTCAGGCTATCGGAGAGTTCCGGGTTTGACGGATTCCGGCTAACGGAGATATTACTGTACTGTACAGTATTTGAAAAACAAAAATCTTGAAAGTGTGTGTGGCATTCTGTTCACGGTAATATACGCTGTTGCTATGTGGTAACTTAATAATATTCAGATATCAAATTTTTTCATGTAACAATATATTGCAAATGGCAACGTGGGAGAAAGTCTTCGACGAGTCAGTCACACGACATACAGACACCATCACACCACTGATGCCTGTCAGTGCTTGGGGGAGATGGGTTGCACATTGCTCCGAACACTTCACAACTTTTACAATGCTTTATCACGCAATCAGTTTTACAAAAGAATTCACAGCATATCCTCAGGCAGACTAAGCATCCACCAACAAAGTGACAACATACAGTATTTCTTTTCTGCAATACCGTAGCTCGTGACTATACTGCCTCGCTTACTGGCACTTTTGCCATATCTACTCCTTCTGTTACATAATTGAATACTTTTCACCACAACTTTTTGTTTGAGTTTATAAAAGATTGGTCACAAACATTTTTTAACAATGAACAGATCCGTACCCGAGGTTTGCCAGATGATGTTGTTGGACCAGTACGTGTTGTCACCATTGAGGGTGTGGATGCTAACATGTGTTGTGGTACACATGTACGAAATCTAGCAGACCTTCAGGCCATCAAGTTGCTGCACACAGAAAAGGGGAAAGCTAACAAGACACTGCTCTACTTTGTGGCTGGTGCAAGAGTCCTCAGGTATTGGGTTGTGTTGGTTTTAATTGTTGATTTTTGTTGATTAAATAAAAATGTAATTGATGATTCATTTACCAATTTAAGTTATTTTGAGTTATAATTATTTAAGCAATGGTCAAGACTAATTTAGATTTTTTATTTATTTACCTTTTACCTGTATTATTATTTATTTTTAATGCACCACTCAGACATTCACTAAGTGAACCAGGTGAACAAGTGGATGTGAGAAGGGTGTTGTTTGGTGTGACCTTATTGATCATCATAGGTTTTCTTCAGACACTCCATTTGATCTTGCCAAAGGACTTTGCCTTCATTGTAGAAGTAACCCAGCAAGATCTCTTGCACCACCACTATTGCATCATTGCTGTGTCCTCGTCCAATGACTGGAAAACCTTGCAAATCCACCTTTGAGGCTGAGTAAGCCACTCCCCTGGCTGGATTCTACCAACAGTTGTGTCTACCTATCTTTGTGCTCTGGTGGCGAATATACTCTCTTAGAATGAGCTCGTAGGTAGTTGTGCAAGACGACTGTGGTAAAGACAGTGTCGTTCACATTTGCAAGAAATGTGCAGATAGCCTGCTTGAAAATCTGGAACCTTGCTGCCAGAATCCCAAAGATATTTTTTCAGATGCACATTGCATGTATACCGTCTTATCTGCCAGATCTCTTCCAGGAAATGGCTTTGTCAAATGTGTCTTCAGGGGTTATACTTCATCTCCTATAATGACATAGGGACAATGCCTGTTGGAGAATGGCAGAGAAGAAAGAGGTGGGATGTTTAACATATTGAATGCTGTATCCTAAACAAGGATAGCAAAGTGAGAGTAATGAAACATCGTTCTCATGGTTAAACCTTAACTTTAAATTTTGTTACTTACTGCTAAAAAAAATTCTTACATACTTGCATACTGTATATTCAATTCATTCATATAAACTAATACAGTACAGCTGCCTCTTGATTTGTGCAGATTGGATTTATGTATTTTCAAGAATACAACACCTGCCTAGATTAAGAGGCAGATGTACTGTATTATCTTACCCCTAATAACACTGCACTCATGATGTATAGGATGACCAATAATTCTAGTACTGTACCTTATTCAGCACTGAAAACTGTACTCTGTTGAGGTGAGTAAAACTTCCCGATAAAGAGGGTTTGCGGTAACTAATGTTACAACCTGTCAGCCTAGCAAGTTCAATAAAATTTCTCATGAAAATGACCTGTTCCTAAATAGTAAATTGTGAGTGTCAGACGCTCGCCTCTGCCTTCCTCAGTTTGGTGTCGGCGATTTCAATGAGTAGCATCACAAGTCGTAGTACAGCATGTCCTTCAAATTTATGGATTTTTAATTCGCGGACCTCAATTATTCGCGGATGACACCCTGGATGTACCCAAGGATGTCTAAGGGTAGTTTTAAAGTTTTGGCATTTTTGCAGCCGGTACAGGGAGCCATTTGTTCTTGGCACAGTAATTTCCTTTACCTGTACTGTATTGTATATACCCTGTATATGCGTGTGTAGATAATGAAATTGATTAATAAAATATTTATTTAAAATAATGAATACAGTTACAGTACAGGTATATGACCATTTTCATCCACTCTGCTCAGGCAGAAAGTAAGTGATTATTGTTACATATACAGAACCTTAACAATGGGATCACTGTAGGCAGATTTTATTTACACATTCTTAAAGCAGGGGTTCAACTATGCTACAAAATGAATTGTTTCATAGTATTATCCTTTTATGAACAGTGTCCACAATAATATTATACAAAAGAACATTGCTCTCTTTTACAAAGAAATTTGTAGTTTTAATGTTATGGTAATATTCTTAGTATTGGTGATGCGAGACATATAATTTTCTTTATCAAATATGTTCTCGACTAGCTTGGTGTTTAAATTATGCATGCAGACTTCTGCAGCCTCTGGAAAATGTACATTATAAATCGTGTTCATTTCTTTCTTCTTTAATGGGTTACACTGAGTAAGTACTGTACTGGTAGTTTTAATTTTTTGGCCATTTCATGTAAATTTAATTCACATAAACCATACCCTTGTATGATTACCTGTTTATTTATTTGTGACATTTAATTGACTGGCTTTAAATTTTCTAGATACCTGGGAGAGTGTGTTAGTCGAGAGCGTCAGTTTAACATCCTCCTGCACTCTTGCTCATCTGACCACTTGCGTCTGGTGGAGAAAATCCAAAAGGACCTCAAAAGTATGATGATTTGGTAGGGTATATGATCTAGGCCTCTAGAGTATTATGGTTTATACCTGTACATGAGTGCCCCTTAGGCTTATGTATCTAGTTGGTTTGCTTGAAATATTAAAACCAATTAATAAATATAGCGAGTTAAATTAAAATGGGCCACAAAGCATAATATACACTATCATGTAATTTAGATTTAAGAAAAAATGCTTATGTGTTAGAGGTAACCATATTAAATTATAGTGACCGTGAGCTTCATCTCTACACTGTACAGTACAGTAGTAGTACCTGTAATTGAAATTTTCTTTTTTTTGTCCCCCACTTGACAAAGTAGGTGGTGATTATAGAAATTGGTTGCATCTGCATATCATTTTGTACATTCATCCATGTTTTGTTTGCAGAACATAACCAATAAAACAAAAACAAACAATTCAAATGACTAAATAAGACTCGGCATATAAAGTGACCTAGAGGTAAACTAATTCTTTTGTAGTAAAACAGAGACTGTGCTCTAGTTTAAGTATAACTATCATAACCATATTAGGTGAGTTGGGTGCTATATTTTTATATTTTCTTTATCCAGAAGTAGGTATGTCTCTTACCAAATTATAGACATAATTTTTAATCTTCATATTATTCGAATTCCTTTTACTTCTTTAAGGGAATTGGAATTAGATGATAATATGTACTGTAAAATTTTTGAAATCCTTACACTAAGGTTTCTCCAAGCATTTATTGTCAATAATACATTCTCATATTAAGCACATTTGTACACATTCAACTTACTTCACTTTTTCTAACAGGCTCCTTAAAGTCCCTGAGAGATGCCATGAAGGATCTGGCAGTCTTTGAAGGTCAAAAATTCCTAGCTCAGGACCCAAGACCTCAGGTTTACTTTCATCATCGCCGTGATGGAGACATGGACTACCTCAGTGCTATTATTAATGAAATAAATGATGAGGCAAGTTTTTGTTCTTGTGCTCTATGTACTTTTATTTCTAAAAAAATTAAACGGGAGAATGCCAATTTCATAATACTGTATGCTGAATATAAATGTAACCTACCGGGTAATCATATCTACCTTAACTTAAGCCTAACACTAACCAAATTTTACCAAACCTACTTTAGCCTAATTTAACCTTCCCTGACCATACAGCAAAAATATTTAGTCACCAACATAATACTGTATGTGAATGCCTCAGAACCTGGAGATATCTGGATAATAAAAAAGTTGTGGATAATAGAATGTTCCCCAGGTACAGTGCTGGCTTGCCATTTATATATGCATAACCCATCTGCATTTAGGAAAACTGAAGAAAGAGTCTGTCATAATGGTCATTACTGTGCAATTTTTGTAATTTAAACAGTGGAATTAGCATTTTAATACATACAGTAAGAAAAAAATGCTGACTGAGTCTTGAATTAGTGCAATTAGAATGTGCTATAGGAAGCTGAGATTAGATACATTTTACAGAATATTTTACTCATGTCTTCAAATTGTGTTCATTGACAGAATGTGCTCAAGGTGCTGACTGTTGGGGAGGATAAAGGACCAGGATCACTGGTAGTACATGGCCCACCCAGTCTAGTGGCTGAAGTTGGACCAAGGTAAGTTTAATAATTTGTACACCATTGAATTACTATACCCTTTCCACACTAACCTGACCCGTGGGCCCTGCCCCTCTTCTTTACTAATGGAAAATTCAAACTAAATGTGTTCACAATTGGTAAGCAGACCCGTTATTATCTAAAATTACGTTAAATATATGGATTATCAAAATGCAAATCATTTCAATGCATTAGCACTGCAGAGAGGATGTTAGAAAATTTTAAATATTTATTATAAAAGGTCGATATAAATATGCCCCAATTTACTCGCAGTCCAGGGGGAGGTAAGCGCTGAGGGGAACCATCAGCTATTTGTAGCTATAGACAAGAGGGTAGGGCTTATGGGCCAGCTTAGCATGGAAATACTATAGTACAGTACAAGTATTGTAATCTGTCATGCTGATAACATGAGTCTCCTTGTTGTTTGGTAACCCTATTCCCTTTGGATATTTTGGATTGGAGCTACACGTATTGTGAGTTACAGTATCCTCTTGCCTGTGATCTAAAGTTGTGGTTTTAGGATTATGGTAAACCCACATTTTTTTTAATGTTTGTTTCCCAAAAATAAAAAAATAAATTGAGCAAAAGGTTTCATTATGTTTGCAGCTTTACCTCTGGTTCAACTCTCACAGTACTATGCTCAATGACATCTTTCATATTATCCAATATGAGGTAACTTTTACATTATGCTATGTGACTTAGCTTCCATAGTATGTGACTGAACTCAGCAAATCATATGATAATCTCCTTTTGCCAGTTCTCTCATTACTTAATTACTTCCATATCTTCTTTGCCATCATCACAAGAAGGACTTTGGCTGTTGCTGGGAATATAACTATCTGTATACTGTACTACGAAAACTTGTTTTAAACCATATTAAATTTTGCCAGCCTTTTCTAGGAATTCAACCCAAGATATACAGTAAATGAGGGCAATTTTCTGTTAAGGAAATTTTTGTTCATTTATTGCAGGAGGTCACAACTTTCAGCTCTGATTTTTTCCCAGATAGTTTCCTTAACTTTAGGTGGTGACTTTTGATGATAAGAAGTGGTCATCACCTAATTTTGGATAAGGATAGTTGATTGGGTAGTACCCATTGAGGTGCTTCTACACCTAGATAAAGGCATGTTTTTATTGTACAAAATTAGGCAACTATAAATATTTGAGTCTTGTTTAATGAGGTGTTTGAGTTCTGGAACCATTGATATTTAATTCTTGGGAATTTCTCAAATAAGAGAGTGTTTGGTGTATCACAGAGACAAAGCAGAATTGCAGTACAATACTCCAAGTGTCCTAGAACAATACCTTTAATGAGTCTAGATAGAGATGAAGTATACAGTATATATGTAAGATATGATCAAAGACCAGTAAAATTAAGGTATATAGTACCATCATATTCTAGAATTTTTGACCATACATCCAAGACCTAAACGATTCAGTAGTCACATATCTCTTAATGATATGGCTTTAAACATCCAACAGTTTTGTGCACAACACTGAAAAGAATGTTAATACCCGGTAGTCTTTTTAAAACTTTACTGTCAGAAATATATTTAAGCCTAAAGATATCAAATCTAACATGCTTTCACTTCTCTTTTTCAGGCTGTGTGAGATCTTAGAAGGACGTGGTGGAGGAAAATCTCGCTTCACTGGGAAAGTTACAAAACTTGGAAAGAGAGGAGAAGCAGAAAAATACATCCTCGGTGTCATGGACAACCATAAAACCGAAAGCTAATCATGTAACACAATTGTGGACTCATGATGAATATTATTAAAATATAAATATTTATTAAAAGCTTTGAGAGTCTTATTTCATGTGTATGTAATTTGTATCCCATATCCATAATTTCCTTTCATGCAACATTTCTCAAATATCTATGTAGGAGTTACAGTCTTTAAAACCTTGTGTACATTGCATTAGCACATATCTAACTGGATCTCAAAAACTGCTTATTGCTCCTCCAAATTTAATTTTTTTTCCAAAGATATAAAGACTTAAAAGTATTATCTCATAAACTGCAGCCATCATCATGTAAGTTAGCTGTAGGGATGACAGCCATCATCAGTGGATGTCAGCATCAGTGGAAGTTAGCTTTAGGGACGACAACCATCATCATTGTACATTTCATGTTCCATGCATTCCACTTTTGCAATTTAATAATAGTTAACTTTGTTAGCTGATGGACCACGGAGCCATTTAAAATGTCAAAATGCTCATCATCACCATTTGACGGCCATGTTTGACACTTCCACGAGTAAGCCATGATTTTTTTTTTTTTAGTTCCAGTCAGGATTAAAAGCATATGGTAGATTTTTATAACAGTTTAAAATTAAAAGTAGCAGCATTCAAAGCTTCACATGTATGAGCTGAGGTTAAACAGGAAACACTACAGCAAAAGTAACAAAAATATTGCCTGTGATCAGAATTTTCGGGGATTTGAAGAGACAACAGAAACAGTGCAGTTAATACTGTTTATACAAATACTGTTCACTTTTTGCGAAGTCTGAATAATTGAGGGATTGCAAATTTTTTTTTATTGTGTTCTAATAGAAGCTATTTTTTTTTTCATTTTTACCTTACACATGAAGGAGTTTTTGATGTACAGTATTCAAAAGGCCCTGTCGTTGTTTTTGCACCATTAAAGCAATCTTAAGTCATATATGCACCAAATCCAACCAACCATCTTCAAGGAAGTATGTTGGGTATACAGCATACACTGAATTCTTTTGAAAGTCAATTCAAATGCCAAGGTCATGGTCATAAAAAGATAAAAAATGAACTTGTTGCATTAGATTCTTTGACATTATTTTCACCCAAATCCCTGGACCTCAACCTCACCAGGCATGTCTGGACAGCCATGATGCAAAGCCTGTCATACCAGGCTAGCCAATGTAGCCACACTAATACCATCAATAATGAATTAGAGGAATGGAAACAGATGAGAAGCCCCACTGAATGACACCACCTTACAGCTGAGTTGGTGGCACCCATGTCTCGAAGGCTTAATAGCATCATAGAGGCTAGTGGTGCCCACACCAATTATTGATATAAAAGTTATTTCTGAATATAGTTTCCCTTCCAAAAACTAAATGCTGCAATCACATATTCAATTTATGAATGATACAGAAATGATAAAATTGGCTTCATTAAATTTAACTACAGTATAATTACAATAGTACAGTACATGCTTTCAATGCAACGAAAATAGTCATGCATGAACACTGCATAACTTTGTCTTTGCTCCCTGAAATATTGATTTCAGGTTCGTATAGTTAATTATATGTCACTTTAATCACCCTAAAACGTCTGCCTTTTGGTTTCCTAAGTTTCCAATATTCTATCACCATATGTTATTCTATAACAATAATGGTCAAGATAAGATTATGTGACAGCTGATGTATTGGAATGATAAACATGCACAAATTTGAATGTTTCCAATAATAACAGTTACATTAACTACATTGTAAGTACTGTATATGGTCTCACTCAGATATTTTATGACCCACGAGGGATTAAAATTGTGTACAGTACACAAAACTCGTGCAAATTGAGGATATACAGTACTGTATTGATTATCTTCTAAAATTTCAATAATTTTTATCTCTTGGCTTTCTCTAAGTTTGATTTCTTATTTTTCTTACATACCCTGCAAGTGATTATTAATCGGAAAATTAAATTAAAAATTACAATAGTGTAAATATGTCAGAAATAAATCCAGTTGTTATTGAAGAAAACTATAAAAATTAATAAAAATAAACAAAATCTACATGTGTGCATGCTTGTATATCTAGTATGTATGTATATGTGTGTTTTTGCAAGAAGCAAAATACTATGCATGCACTTAATCATCAGGCAATCTACAAAGAGACTTCAGTATCATCTGTCCAAACAAGATCCAATGATTGGTTTCCTTCTGTTAATATATACAGCCAGGGCGTGAAACCCAGTTAAACCAGACTGTGGACTGAGACGAGAAAGAATAGATGAGCAATCTCACACTACATACTCACAAGTTTTAGTACACAAATCAGAGTAATGCCTCCAAGAGCATACTCTTGCTTCTCAGAACTTAGTGGTGCCTCACACAACATAGCAGTGCCTTACACAACATAGTGGTGTCCCACACAACATAGTGGTACCTTACACAACATAGTGGTGCCTCACAACATGGTTGAACCTCATACAACATAGTGGTGCCACACACAACATAGCATTGCCTCACACAACATAATGGTGCCTCACACAACATAGTGGTGCCTCACACAACATAGCATTACCTCACACAACATAGTGGTGCCCCACACAACATAGCATTGCCTCACACAACATAATGGTACCTCACACAACGTAGTGGTGCCTCACACAACATAGCAGTGCCTCACACAACAAAGTGGTGCCTCACACAACATAGCAGCGCCCCACACAACATAGCGGTGCCTCACACAACAGAGCTGTGCCTCACACAACATAGCGGTGCTTCATACAACATAGCACTGTCTCACAATATAATGGTGCCTCACAATGCAGCTCTGCTTCATGGAGCATTGTGGTGCCTCACACAATGCAGCTGTGTTTCACACAACATAGCGGTGCCTCACACAACATAGCAGCGCCTCACACAACATAGTGGTGCCTCACACAACATAGCAGCGCCCCACACAACATAGCGGTGCCTCACACAACAGAGCTATGCTTCACACAACATAGCGGTGCTTCACACATCATAGCACTGTCTCACACAATATAATGGTGCCTCACACAATGCAGCTCTGCTTCATGGAGCATTGTGGTGCCTCACACAATGCAGCTGTGTTTCACACAACATAGCGGTGCCTCACACAATAAAGTGGTGTCTTGCAACATAGCAGTGCCTCACACAACATAGCGATGCCTCACACAACATAGCGATGCCTCACACAACATAGCAGTGCCTCACACAACATAGTGGTGCCTTACACAACATAGCGGTGCCTCACACAACATAGCGGTGCCTCACACAACATAGCAGTGCCTCACACAACATAGTGATGCCTCCCACAAATAGTAATGCCTCAGACAACATGCCTCACAGAACAGTGGTGCCTCGTAGAACAGTAGTGCCTCAGAACAGTGGTGCGTCACATGACAGTAATGCTTTGCCGAACACAGTACTGTACTGTACTGCTTCATAGAATTCAGTTCTATCTTTCAATGAAAAGATAAACAGTTTCTAGATCACTGTGGTCCCTCACATAATTGCCATACAGAACATAGATTACCACCACACAAGACACGGTTTGTTGACCAATGAGACTGATCATCGTGTCCTGTATGGTGGTACTTCTATCATATGTACTTTATTGACCAATAAGACTCACACATCTTTTAAACAAACTTAACTTCCACCAGTAAGATTTGGAGATGGGTGCCCAGCGCAAGAAACAAGGCACCTGTGTGTATATTTATCATACAAGTTCAACACTTGATATGTGTTGCAGTAATCTCCCAGATCATACCACTGAATATGAGCTATGTACTATTAGTAGTAACGGGCTGTGAGAAGATAATGCGAACGCATTTGTTAAACAAGTATGTAAAAGAATTGTTTCCATTAATGTGCTCAAACTACTCCTTTTAGGCGTAGAAACAGCATTTTAGTATGGCAATTACAATCGCCCCTCTCACAGGGTGATAAGGGTTCGATCCGGCCTTGGAATACAGGATTTGGTTAGTATATATATTGTTAATTTTTTCTCGACACTAGTATGTGTTGCCTTATTTTTCTAAATACTGATGTATGTATGTATGTATTGGAGAAAACACTGGTGGATGTGTTTAGAAAACCCTTCTCAGAGAAGAGAATAAGAATTGTTTCTGGAAATTTTGGATTATTTCTCCAGAACTCTTGAATGGATATTGTCTATTCATACCTCCCCCCCCCCCCTTCTCCGTTTCAACTAATATTATTTATTTTTTATTTTTTATTTATTTTTTGCATATATTCTTACACGCCATAATTCGAAGACTAGAGTACTTAGCTCTTCAGGTGAGGGGCAAGATCCCAGTATGCAACAAGTATTCCCTCTCTAGATTTTTATGCTGAGGAGCTGGTACAAGTAACTCGGTGTCTGGTGTCTCCATTGGTTTCAATAGGTTTTCAACCCAGCTCATTCAGGAACTTCAAGGCATTGGTGACCCAGGCTCCCAGGGTCTGTACTGTACTTTGTCTTCTCCTAGCTTTCCCTTGAACTTGCTGCCCTCCCCCTCTCCAGCTGCACTGTGGGACAGATACGTAGGCACCAAGGTGGAAGCACATAAGAAGTCTCACAGCAACTGTTTACCATCCCTTCAGGGGATTATCATGATTCCTCTGAACACTTATTATCAAATCTTTAAATTTGTGGTTTCCTATGAACAGGGCAGCCGGCACTTATCAGATAAGTCTCAATGACGTCATTAACTTTATTGTCTTGCATGCCAACCACAGAAGCCTCACAGACGAGGGCGTGGTTGCCATATCAGTCTGCTCACTCATTGCTACAGATACACTTGCAAGCAATATAAATAGAGGCCGAAAGACAAAAGGCTAATCTAGTATGGAGAGCCTGGGGATCGAGACAAGTGCCTAAGGAAGGGATTGAAGCAGCCAGTAGAAAGTTCTTGCCATGAAGAACACTCACTGCCTGCAGGTGAGATCCTCTCCAGTTAATTTGAGAGCCTCTCAAGCATGTCTGCTGAAATATTCTCCATGATGGGTTTGTCCCAGTGTGTTTGTGGGCTAATTGCTTGGGATGTGATATCTCCTGCCGAGTGGCTGCCTCCCTGAAAGTTAGATTGTTTACTCCTGCGACCGTTCTAAGGTGAGCTGGACCGATCTTCTCGACCAGTTTATCTGATACCACTCGGGATAATAAGAATGCTGCCAATACAATATGGGAAGATTATACATACATACATACATATTATAGACATGGTGATAAATACAGACTACAACAATGATATTTTATGAATATACAGTTACAGCACCTACATCATAATACTTGTTTTATATTTTTTTGGTTATTTAAGAATTTTGTGGTGATTCATGTTTCTTCCAGTATCCCGCGTGTCTGGGTGTTGGTTGCAAGTCATTCTCAGACAGTAATTTTACTAGTCGGTCAACCGTACCATATCGCCACTCGGTGATTAACTCTGTTATTCACTGGATAATTATCATGGTTAAGATCATCTTTGTCGTTATGTATTCATGTCAAAATATATTAGCATTTACATTTCCTGGCGAAGAAGAATATCAAGTATAGACAGAAATAATGAAAAAGGTGTGGACAAAAAAAACAAAGTCCGTACCACAACAAACTAGCGGGACCTCTATCACCCACAACACCTCAATCGACCCACATCAAACCAACATCAAGATGGATCGACCAAATCCTTACTAACTGGGACGCGACTTATCATTAAACCTTAAAGATTGATTACGTATTATGAGTCACTAAATTTATATATATATATATATATATATATATATATATATATATATATATATATATATATATATATATATATATATATATATTTCATGTAAATCCACAATGAAAACGTGAGTGATAGCGACTCATAATAGTGAGTGTAAAAGCGATAATAAATAGGGCAGTTGCAGTAAGAAAAGCACAGGTAGTTAAAAGACTGAGCCTTTTGACCACAATATAAATCCTATTTCTTGATTGTCTTCTTTCTTCTGGACAGAGCACAAAGGCCTGATACTGGTGGTGTTGTGACATGCTGGAGGTGGTGTGACGTGGTAGTGGTGTTGTGGCGTGGTGGAGATGGTGGTGTGACGTGGTGGTGATGGTGCTGTGATTTGGTGGTGATGGTGATGTGACGTGGTGATGGTGACGTGGTGATGGTGACGTGTTGGTGTTGTGACGTGGTGGTGGTGCTGTGACGTGGTGGTGGTGTTGTGACGTGGTGGTAGTGTTGTAACGTGATGGTGGTGTTGTGACGTGATGGTGGTGCTGTGACGTGGTGGTGGTGTTGTGACGTGGTGGTGGTGTTGTAACGTGATGGTGGTGTTGTGACGTGGTGATGTGGTAATGGTGACGGCGTGTGAATGGTGTTGTGACGCGGTGGTGATGGTGGTGATGGTGACGTGGTGGTGTTGGTGTTGTGACGTGGTGGTGGTGTTGTGACGTGGTGGTGGTGTTGTGACGTGATGGTGGTGTTGTGACGTGGTGGTAGTGTTGTGACGTGGTGGTGATGGTGGTGGTGGAACGTGCCAGTCCAGCCCCAACACATCCTTACTACGTCACGTCTAACTACCGTAAGAGGCGACCGGGGGCTCTCCCACACCTGGATATTTCACCTTCTCTCTAACCTCCCCGGTCCTCTTCCTTTTTCCTCCTTCCTCTTCCTTCTTATCTCCTTTTTCTCTTGTTCTTCTCTTCCTCCTGTTCATTCCCCTGTTTCTTCTCTCCCCCAAGTCCATTTTTATTTGTTCTTCCACCCCCTCATTTCCATACCGTGCCCAACCGGTCCCTCCACCTCAGGGTACATACAATCCTGCCTCCTGCCACCCCACTGGTGACCTAGTGAGATCCACATTGACTACAGTTTAGTGATTGATGACAGTTTGGGTAATCCGAGTATTCTAATGCCTGGTTGGTCTATGGCAGCCATCTCTCTTTTAGGTAATAATCCTTTACCAGGGTCAAATTTCGAGAGACTTACATGCTGATTCAGAGAGACAATCATCCCCAGACAAACCGAACTTGCAAGGAGCGTCAAATTTATGATCTCGCTCGATAAGTAGGTCATCCTACACCTATGTATTGGGTCTTCTTCCCTATGATAATGACTTATACCTGTGTCTCGCTATTAAATTGTCGCATTTTGAAGGGAGAGAGTTTCCAGGGTTTAATTTGTTTGCTTTTTTTCTCTCTAATCCCAAGATAATTTAGTCTGATTAGTTCCTGGAGACAATTAAAAGAACAGTGGCATCTTGTGTGTTTTCACCTGTGTAGCCGTAATCGTTGACCAATAGTTGGCGGACATACGAGTATTATATGAATCGTACTATTCAAAGAGATGAACCTAGTGAAAAAGAAATTGAAATACTGTACAGTACAGGGAAATTTACTAATTATTTGCTGGTTGACAGTCATTCATACATTCACTATCAATTTTATGTACAAGTAGTTAGGTTTACCTTAAAATAAACGCTGATTCATTTAACAGCGTATACTTTACAACGACCATACTGGCACGCGTAAAATTGGCATAAGACAGACAACCAGACCAGACCGACGCATGATTAGAAAACACGCTAATATAGTACTGTATGTGCGTGATCGTCAGAGTTCATCTGTGAGAAATGTGAGCCCAACAGCAAACTGTACATCAAAGTAAATACGGCTCGTTCCTTGAGTGAAGTAGACCACTTCATGGCGGTCAGTGTTCACCAGCAACACAGAACAGCTGATCTCGCACACTCAGGAAATATTTAAACAACAGCCGTATCATCATAATTTCCAATTCTGAATAAATAAGATTAAACTAATTTCTCCAATAAACCTAAGATATCTGAAATTAACCTGAATAATAAATTCGTTTCGTAAATCATTTTGTACATATCAGGGCTGTTTTCTGTAGAGTTGATATTCTTCATAATGTATCAAGACTGAACTTAGATAAATAACATAGCCTATAGGTACAGTATACAATCGCAACACATAACCAGATAAGTATCAGGAACAAGTGTTATCATATTTTGAAGGGGTGAAATATCATCAATGCATCAGTGATTTATCGATGTATAATTTAAATTGGTTTACAATTTAGGCACAAAATTATAATATCCCTTCTGTCCTCCTTATATTTTTATCAGTTATGTTCTATTCACATCTTTTTAATCATCACAACGAATAATTAGTGCCTGTAATGATGTAATCTTAACTCGTGCTTGTTGTTATAAACGTTACTTTACAATTTAAAAGGGACATAGAGCATTATTTATAAATACTACAAATTACGAGGAACCCAAGCCCTCATTATATAAAAATCTAAACATGTTTATAATATGAAATACACAATAAATTTGCTTTAAAAATTATTTGCTCTTTATTTGACATGATGCAAATTAGATTGTGATTAATGGCCACAATTCACAATCCATCCAGATTACACTATCCTATCACCACCTGGAATAAGTCCTTTCATATCATTGAGACATTATTTATTTAAAAAAAAATCCAGCTTTCTATTATTGATATGCTTAATAAATCTTGTTGGGGCCTTTGTGCCGTTACTCTGTAAAATTGATGACATTAGTTAGATACCTTTTGCCTTCTCGAGCTTGTTTAAAACTCTACTGCTCTTGTTACTTCTTTTATATTAATTTGTTTTAGATATTCGTACCGTCACGTTTTTTGCATATCAAAATCTTTTTAGAGCCTTAAAAAACACCAGTTTCACCTTCGGTATTGATTCGTTACGGTATGACAGCAGCGGCCTGTAGTAACAAGAGTGCTAGTGGACTGTGGGGTGGGAGGAGTGGGTTAGTTGCACCGCCCGTGTGCGCGTTGGCTGGCTTCAGGGAGTTGCTTACCTAGCAAGTCTTCTCAACTCCACGACCACGAGTCTGTGGGCGGTTCAGTCTCACGTCTGACCTTGGTGAGTTCAGGAGCGTGCCAGTGAGGTTCTACAAGAGATTGTCAGTGAGTGAAGGACGCATCTCTGCTTCCCTTCTACGGGAAATACTGAACTACTTCTACGGAAGTTATCCTTTGTAATTTGTAATTTTGTGGGTAAGTCACTATTTTTGTGTATGAAGCTCTATTTTTTTTTTTTAGTGAGTAAACGTCACTTTGCCCTCCTGCATCACCGTTGCTGTTAACACAGCGAATATAATATCCTAATACAATAGTACTGGGTGTTATTATTACTATGTTGTGACGCTACATGGTAACTTCGTGTTATGAAGTTCTACCTTGTTTTTATTGAACATTGGATGCTTTGATCTCCTGCAACTGCTACAGTTATTGCCACAGAAGTTACTATAAAGGTTGTTTGGATATTGTGCATGTCAGTAACAGCTGTAATGTGTGTTTAGTCAAAATGTTTGTTTTTTTAAGGAATTGTTATGGAATGTACGAAAAGTCTTTGTCGTATGATTGAGCGATGAGTGAGTTTCCCTCAGCATTTTTGGGAAGGAAAATTTCCAACTGCTTGTGACAGGCGAGAGACACTGTTATTCTTTTTTTTACAATTACAGTACTTACCGCAGGGGGTGGTATTTTTACTTGCTGCTGCTGCTCCTTCCGTAGGAGTTATGTGCTTGGTGATGTAGTATACTGTTTTGTAAAGACTGTGTTCTATGTAAAGCTCTCCTAACGGTTTTCAGTGGGTGAGAACGTGACTCCGGTAGGTAAGTGACATTCCAGTTTCTTGTCATTGCTTGTTACCGCTTACTACACTAGTTCCACTTTAGTTCTTGTGTGGAGAGATATTTACTTTTATTCGTCATTTCTATCACTTATCAGCTTATTGTTGTTTTTATGCAATTGGTGTGTTACAACCTTCATTATTCAGTGTAAATACAGAAAGAAACCGGAGTTCCCGCAGAAAACTTGCACTATTTGGTGAAGGGTCACACAGGAGGACACCCTTCTCACCACCGAACCGGGATTTGAGCCCACGACCGCCACACCACCATTATTGAAATTTTAAATGAGTGTGTACATACCGTATTTGTCTGTGTTTGTTCTTGTTCTTATATTCCTGTGTGCGTACGTGTGTATGTATTAGTACTCGTGTACCTCTGTGCATGTGTGTGCATGAGCACTTGCGTACATGCGTGAGTATTTGTGCTTACGCACTTCTGAGCGCTTGTGTGTGTGTGTGTGTGTGTGTTCATTGAAGTTAACCTGTGTGTTTTTCCGCTCGGTGTGTTTGTCCGTTTGTGTCACTGAATATTTTTGTTTTGTGTGTCTATTTGGCTTCTTATAAATGTGTGTGTGTGTGTGTGTGTGTGTGTGTGTGTGTGTGTGTGAGCTTGTGCGTTAGTCCGCTCTCGTTTTTGCGTGAGTGTTTTTCCAATGGTGTCTGTGTTCACGTTTGTTTACAGTACGTGCAATGCCGGATTTAGACCTGTGGAGGCCCATGGGCAGCCTCTTTGTGGAGGCCCCCCTCATTATAACTACTCCTGGAGTAGCTAGCCTAATTTCTATCACGCTTCTTTCTGAACATAGTTTTACGTGATGGAACAGATAAACATAAATTTTAAAGAATGAAAATAAAAATAATCCAAATGAATAAACAAATAAATAAAATATTGTAAAATGTGGAGGCCCCCAGATTGTGGAGGCCCCTGGGCAGCTGCCCACTTTGCCCACTCCTTAATCCGGCCCTGAGTACGTGCGTGTCCAGCAGTACCACAGTCAGGGGCAGAGGAAGTCTGGCTGTACGAACATACATAGTATATCATGTCGTGGACTTCAGGAGGAATGCTTTAAGACAGAAATTGTTCCAACCGGTTGACTAGATACTTGCATCACTCAGCTGCCGATCATTCGATTTTTTCCATAAAACGCAAAGGACTCTCTTAAGAAATATACAGTAGGTTATTGCATATTGGTCAAAGTGACATTATGCTTTCATTAAATACATCCTTCGCTGTCTTAATCAAATTTTACCTAAATTTGGTTTACCTATGTTAGATTAGGTTAGAGCTAATGCTATTCCCCTACAATAATTATTACGCTTAATTACTTGATTGCATCTACAGTACAGTATATACTGTACACACCAGTCTTAGTTTTCGAGAAAAAAAATCATTCTCGTAATTATGTGCAAAACCAATGACATAATTATTCGTTATGTGATGAACTGACAGTAAATAGGACGGACTAACCAATTAGTGATTTAGTTGACAGGTCAATCGACTATCTTATTTAAATTTTATTTGAATTAATAATCATATAACATTTTTTAGTTGTTTAATGGATTAATAAGTAACTCTCACTCACTGATCATCAAACTGGTTAAACCATTGTTTTACTGAAAGACCAATTAATTATTTATTTTAGTAATATGAGTTCCCAGTTACATGAATGATCTCTGAACTCAGAACAAAGCAACTGTTGTCAAAACCACATTATTCAACAATCAGAGATCATAGCCACATATCCGACCACCCTGTAAATACGACAGACTTCACCATCCTCACCACTAGCCCCCACGACATGACAGGTCACAGCGGAGTCGCTCCTCAGCTAGAGTCCAGCCAGTCCTATTGGCACCCACGACTCCAACACTGTCTGACTTTGTTTCTAACTGGTATGCTAATCTTTGTGTAACCACCTTTAGTTTCTATGCTTGTATTACTCTTAATATTTATTGCTCTGTATATTCACATGGAGTAAAGACACAAACTACAAAATTTACGTCGTATTTAATTTTTAGTAATATTAAGTTTGTGATGATATTGTATTTTATTTCATGGTTTAGGTCTGATGATGACAAGATATACAGTATTTGTCGAAACGTTTTCGAATAAACGTACTGCTGTTTATCCATACCGCTACATTTGTGCTGTTATTTATCATATATATATATATATATATATATATATATATATATATATATATATATATATATATATATATATATATATATATATATATATATATATATATCCATGATTCACTGTTATTAACGTCCCATTATTTACTTTGACTCATTAAAGGGTGCAGTCAGCATCGCAGTCTACGGGCAAGATGGACATGCTGTCATCCGCCAACAGTGTCATTCTCTCCACCAAATCGTCCATGGACTCTTTTTCCACCAGTATCCTCAACCTGGCAGACTCGGTGGGCACTACTGCCTTCCTGGTCATAATGGCAGGGGCCATGGCGGTCAGTGCTGGTATCGGTGGCCTTTCCTTCACCGGCATCGCCAGGGTGGACGAGTACTTTGGCTGGCCCCTGTGGTCAAGTATATTCCCGAGGTGGCGAGAGCAGTCCGGGGTACCCCTCCAAGAAAGGTAAATATTGCCATGCGTTATGGGTTTGTGAGTGACTGTAAATGAACTAATGTTATCAGTACCACCCAGAGGGACAAATGGTCAGAGCACTTGTAGGAAGATGGGCACACGCGAGTTATCTTATTTACCTAATGACCACCCATTAAGGGGGGCCGCCAGTGGCCTATGTAGGATTCTTCCATTGTTCTTGATAGTCTTGTCTAGGGTTATTTTGAAGCCCAATACTATTCTCGATTCCATAAGTCTACCACCCACTGTGTGAAGAAGTATTTCCTTATGTTCGTTCTGGATATTAACTTGGCGAGCTTGACGTTATGACCACCCTTTGTTACTCGTCTTCGAGCCAATTGTTAATCCACTTCAAAATCTTGCCTGTGATGCCATTTGCCTGGATCTTATAGGCTAGTCGTGCATTTAAGTCTTTGTCAAACACCTTGGAGAAATCCATGTACAACACATTCACTAGTAAACCTTTATCTATGTAGTCGGTTACCGTTTCAAGGAACGTAAGATTGTAAGGCAGGATTTTCTTTCCATGAAACTTGTGATGCGTTGATTTGCCTGTTTGATCAGGTGTTGGACGATGGCGTCCCTCAGAATTTTCTTGTTTTGCATACATGGAATGTAAGACTGATTGGCCTGTAGTTTTCTGCTACACTTTTTCTACCCCTCTTGTGTACTAGGTTGACTTGGCAGATTTCCAGCCCCTAGGAGCTTTACCTTTATCCAGAGATTACCTGAATAGTACCTAGGGAGATGACATTAAGGGTACTACATTTTTAAATGAGATAATTGCCGAATAGTGATAACTTCCATGATTTTTTTTAACTTCTGACTAGTCATAGACGATCACGTAGATCATCATAAGACTTAATTATGAATGAAGAGTTTAATAGAAATATATATCTTGATAAAATCACACGGGGAAAAGGGAAACAACGGAGCACCTTAGCTTTCGTCTTTATTCAAGACATCTTCAGAGGCAACTGGATTACATGGACAGAGAGAGAGGCTTAAATATACAGGGTGACCTTATATATATATATATATATATATATATATATATATATATATATATATATATATATATATATATATATATATATATATATATATATATATATATATATATATATATATATCGCACTGTGTTCATGGTTACTGGATATAATAGGAAGAAAATAAACAGTGCCGTGTGATGACCTGCTGCCCTCTTGGGAGGGGGAGGGGAGGAAGACGTTTTAAAATCATTACCTCGACCAACGACAGCTGGGCTGCACATACACATCACACAGAGATAGGTGACTCGAAGGCTCTAACACTGTCGCACCATCGTGACTAATATTAGAAAGAGAGCTACATTAAGAGAGTAATTTGTAATTAACAATGTTTCTGAGAGAGAGAGAGAGAGAGAGAGAGAGAGAGAGAGAGAGAGAGAGAGAGAGAGAGAGCATTGGTGTTCCCACCTGAGCAAGTACTGTACATACAAACATGCACCTGCAATCATCATTTTTGTAAACAAAGTCAAGTGGTAAGTAGCACAGATAATACAATGATATGTGTTTACCTGACGCCCCCATTCATTACAACAATCTCCAACCATAACCACCAAGCCTACATTATGAATTTACTTTAGCAGTAACCTACCATAATTACCATATCCTCTACCATAATTACCATACATCCATTATAAGGACTATCCTCCTTAACCACGAACAACAACTCCTTACAATAACAACCTCACCACACCACTACCATAGGTGCCCTAATCACCTACCAAAAGTATCTGACCCCCATCAACAGGCAACCACCTCTCTTAATCACTCCATACACAAAACACGCCGTCCATGACCTTCCCTCGCGCCATGTTTACATAACGGAGTTCTGTCTTGTTTGTTTACCCTACTTAGTTGACCCACAAGTACACACAGCTGATTAACGCCACTCTGCCAGGTACAGAGATGCATTGGGTCGGTACTTTCTTCCTATGCTGTATATTAAGTGCCGCTAAACTTTGAAAACATCAGGACAAAGCTTTATGTCTCCCAAGATGATAGTAAACATAACTTGTTATACATTTGTCAAGTAAAGAGGCAACCTGACTGGGTATTGGCAACCACACCTTCGTCAAGCACTCTGAGTTACCCTTCCTCAGTTCCACCTACCGTTGAATTTCGGACCCCACTAAACCTACTGCTGGTATCATCTTATCCATCTGTAGCATAGATGGTTGATTACGACACCTTCCTCAGAGAGGGAGATGCGCCGATTCTCTCATTCCCCGTTACGCGCTGCTGAGCCTCGGACACCGCAGGACTCAGCCACCGCCCCTCACTACAACCACTTTCTCGACCTCGGGTTATGGTTGTTGATCTTACTGCCCTACATATCTCAGTTCCCTCGAATACTTGGAAGCTGTGTTGGTCAATGTGGGTGATGAGAAGCGTCATAATGTCTACCTGTTTTTGTCTTTGATTCCGTCTGGCTCGAGCTGTGACTTTCCATGAATTCTTGATGTTTTAGTTTGTACATTTTTTACTCTCTTCTTTTTGGGGTCATATTGTTTCCCTTCTCTCTGTCTCTTCAGTTTTCTTTCTGTCTGCTTGTGTTCCCCGCCGCGCCCCTCTCCTTGCCCTTCCTCTCACACTCACACCCATCTCCTTTGTACCATTATCACCATACCTCCACTATACACTTCCACCACCACTCACTCCTCTACTACGCACCACCACCACCACCACACCTTTACCACAAATCATCACCAAACACCACACTTCCACCACACTTCTCCCACCACCACACAACACCACCACCACACCTCCACCATACCTCGACCACCACTACACACCACCTCCTCACTACCAATAAAAAGACCAACTCCTCACCTACAACACACCCTCACTACACCTCTCCACACATCCTCACCACATCACCACCATACCTCCACCATACACCACCACCACACCAATACCAGACATCACCACACCACCTCACCAGTACCAGACATCACCACTACACCTCACCACTACCGTTACCATCATGAACACACGTCCACGCCCCCAACACTAGCACACGAGCATGAACACACACCACCACACCCCTACACACTTCTATCATCACAATTACCGGGCTTGGAGGACTAATTCACGGTCAGCTACACCGAGAAGATCCTCTGCTCTACAAACCTATACTCCGTGACGCCGTAAACTACAATTTGCATTCGACATTACCAGAAATTTACAGTCTACAGTAAGTGCAGCGACACGTATTGACAACATCTGTGTAGTATACTGTTAACCATAGTAACAGCTCGAGTACAGTACCAAATATTAGTAGCTTGATTATAATGCTAAATATTAACCAGTCAGAGGACATCGGCACACTTGGGAATTATCTTGTCATTCGATTTTATTCAGTTGAGATCTTGAGGGTATTGTCACATATTGCCAGCTTGAATTCACTGCTACATATTGACAGCTTAACCACGGAACCATACACTGACAGCTTGAGTTAATTTCTAGATATTGACAGCTTGACCGCAGAACTATACAATGGCAGCTTGAGTGCAGTACATTATATATATGAACAGCTTGAAAACAGTACCACATATTGACAGCTTACATACAGTACAGAACCACATAATGACACCTTACTTGCAGCACTATATATTGACAACTGACATGCAACACCACATACTGACAACTTGAACGCTGTACCACATACCACAACACAGAACGCAATTACTCCACATCCTCGGGTTGAAGGCAATATTACATACTATCAGTTTGGGAGGAATAGTTCACACCGAAGGTTTCACGGCAGTAGGGCATGACGTACCCTTGAACAAATTGCATTTTATTATAAACTTAAAAAAACAGGAGAATACGAAATAGACAGACAATGATGTCATATATATTTAGCAATTTTAATCCTTGCGTATGTATTATAAATAAGCGAAAATAAAAACCAGTCTTGGCCATCGTAGAAATCCGCTAAATATTGATGGACGAATTTTATTTGACACGACTGTCCTATGAACATACACATGTTTTCATTACAGGTAGATCGATATACAGTACATACACTCCCGATTGCTAAGTCCAACTGTCCGAATACGAGAGATAGAAATGTAGGAAGGATAATCATGTATTTCTTTACTTTCTCTTGTCATTGTATCTCCCAGACGGACGTACGTATACAGTGTGTCTGTGTCTGTATGTGTGTTGAATGATTGGTGTACTCATATGGGTTCTTTGTTCCACCTCATGCCCAGAAACTCACGGGATCCATGGTTGTGTGCGTATGTGTGTATGTGCTCACACACACATCCAGATCATTGTCACACTTGTAAATAACACATAGATACACACAATTGTATGCTTATGTACTCTTACAAATACATAGGCATACATATGTACTCATATACATATACCTATGCACAAACATGTTTACACATGTACTTAAACACAAATGTATACATATGCACATAAACACCTATGCGTACATATGTACATAAACACAAATGCGCACACTTAAACAGTACTAAACTTGACTGAGTCTGAATCATGTTGGTTAATGTTCAGTTACATACTCGCTGAATTACTGGACTCGACTTCGCCTGGGTGGAGGGACAGGAGATGTGCGACTATCCCTTACGCCACCCGCACCACCCTATTAAATTTCAGTTCTCTATATTCATAACTATGGAAATGTATTATGAAAACACACACCCACACGCACATAATGTATTATATATCTATGTCCACTGGATGCCCACGTTGCCTTGTATCTCCTAATGAAGAGCCTCTTTTTGTCCAAACTGACGTACGTCCTCAGGTGTGCTCCATAGGTCAACAGTCACATACAATACAAGGAGAGTACAATGAGCTTCTTAGAGCCATGTTCACAAAAGCTGTGAACGTCTCCTTGGACGAATCCAAGTGAGAAGAAGGAATTCTCCCTGTCCGCCTTGGAGCAGTTGGCATATGCAAAAAACCTCCCAAATCATATTTGCCTGGAATCAAACGAAATGGTGAAGATGATGATCCCAGAACATCTGAGAGTGATAGCATGAGTAAACGATCCAAAGTTCAGGGAGGTAGTTCTCAGTGGGAGACCGTCACATCCCAAGTAACTAAACTAACTCTCCCAAAGGACAAAACCATCTTAGAGGAAAATGCGCTGGATATGCTTCAGAGAACACCAACTACTTGGAGAGAGCTTGTCTGCGGGCAGTGAGTGCTCCACATGCTGGGGATTTTCTTCTGGCAACCCCAAACTCCTCTTTAGCCGCTCGCCTCGATCTTCAGGTCCTCCTTGTTGGAATGGCCCTTAGTTTTGAGGTTCTCCTCCATACTGTTCACAAATGTATCTATGGCAACCAACAGGCAGACCAACATAGAAGCCACGCCTTCGTATGTGGAACTTCCGGGGATTGGCATAGAAGGCACAAGAAACTATGTGGCATAATCAAGAGGAGTCAACCAAACTACGGGGTGCCCAGCGCATAGGGAACTGCAGGTCTATAGATCCGATAACCAGTCTCCAGACGGTATCACGCTGACCACTGGAAGGATAGTAAGCAGCTGTTGTTGGACAACACATGTGCTTCCACTCTGACGTCCACTTACCTTCACCTGAGTGCAGCAGGAATGGGGAGGGCAGCAAGCCTTAGGGAAAACCAGAAGGAGGGAAAGTACACGAATCTGATCCTTCAACATTACTTTAGCCTAACTGGATCAGTCTCTGGAAACCTGAGGCACCAAGGCCCTAAAGTTCCTGAATAAGCTGGGTTCTAAGCTCATTGAAACCACCGGAGACACCAATAAGCATAAAGCTATTTGCCCAAAGCCTCAGCCCAGCGATCAAGAGTACGAATTTTTGCTGTATCCTGGGACCTCATGGAAGTTATTATTGCCTTCAGAAACGCTTACACTTCTCAACTTCTCCACTGCTTACTTTTTATTGCATGTTTTAACGACTAACTAAACAGTTGAATAGTTGTCTGCCTCGTGAAGTTCAATGCCAAAACATGTCTCATGGGAAAAAGCACATAATTTTAGAGAGAAAAAAGCATCTACTGTACACAAAATACATGTATGCCACTGAGAACATAAACTTACCCTCAGGTGTACCTCAATTTGAAAGCCTTAGAGGAGTTCAATACAAAGGATCGGTTTGATGAAGTTGGCGCCTTTGAATTACAATATATTATGTAATTTAAAAAAATAATGTAATCTTTAAAAAGCGTTAATAAGCCTTGTTAGTCTTGGGTAATTTTTCTTCACTTTCCTTTCAGTACATTTAAGAGACCCGTTAACCTTAGTTATCCTGCGAAACTGAAAACCAGAGAGCACGTTCAGGGGTAACTGAGCCAATATACTTGTCTGCATACATTTGATAATACTGAGAACTTCTTGAACGCGAATATTTCCTGACATTTTTGGCAGAACTTTCAGATACTATGTTTTGAGGTGGATTGAAATGACTCACTGCAGAAATATTTAGTAAAATATATTTGAACTTCGAATCACAAGTAAAGTTCCCTTGTATAGAGCAGCACTGAGAGTGTAGAGAGAGGCTGAGAGAAAGTGAGACCGGGATATTAAACCATGAATGAAAAATGTCATTAACCAACCAAACTCGGCCTAATTTAACGATTTTAGAAGATCTCTTAGTTAAGTTTGGTAAGGTTAGGTTGGTTAAATTGGTCAGGTTGGGTTTGTTTGGTTTAATTTGCTCATTCTTCATGTTTTAAAAGAAATTCAGGATCAAAGCAGAAAAACACGAGAAAAAAATATGTAAATTGAAATTCAGACCTTTGTTGAGATAAGGAGCAGTATTTACTTTATACAGGGTTACAAAAAAAACGGCAATAGATAGTTTAGGTGCATAAGAACACTTCAATATTCCCGTATGTCCTCTTTTATTAAGTGTGTCTATTCCATATAGTCTTTTCATATTTTTGCATTTTATCATTTAACCTCTGTTGCAGTTTTTTTCGTTCATAAACTTTATCAAATCTCATATCTTCCCCCTTATCTTTAAGTGTTGAATTATCAGAATTTCTTTATCAATTATCCATATTGTTTATCACCCGCAGGGATTTCGACAATGTTGGCTACGTCCTGAAGCTCCTGAAAGACGCCTTCACAAAATACAGAGAAAGACGGCATCGACAGTGAGAGTATTGTAACAGCAACACATCATAATACACACTGTTACGAGTTACAATACCACAACACTGCTCAAACAGACAACCCCAATATCATCACATATCCACCAACACACGACGCTGGACTTCATTAGTGCTAAGAAAACGAGTACTGTAATTCCTTAGTCAATAACCTTACATCCACAGCGGAGTATTCAATGCAATACAACCCTGGTCAAATATAACAAGTTGTTTACCACATCATGTACAAAGAGCTTTCCACTTCTATTGTGACTGTTTATTATCCCTTGATTATCATAAGTTGAAGACAATGTTGTACTAAGTTAAACGGAAATTTAATTTCTGCTAATAATCAGTTTATATATATATATATATATATATATATATATATATATATATATATATATATATATATATATATACATATATATATGTTCACTGGAAATAAAGAATCTCCGACAAGCCTGCAGCATCAGCATCACAAGTACGATTGCTTTGTAATTTTCTTGTGTTAATATTTGTTTGTTTGTGACTCATGAATATTATTTTACTACTTATTTTAAGATTTCTATATCTTCGTTGCTACAATTTATTTACTTTATCAACATATATCAAGTTTACTTCTGTATACTCTATTATATTAACCTTAATAAATTATTTATTGTATCATTTTCTGAATTATCTCCCACACCAGATGTAGCCCCCCGACATATGCAACGTCTGTGAACGACCCTGCCGGTCCCGTATCGGCCTCTTTAGTCACCTCAGAACTCACAAACGTAGGTGACACCCAAAATAACTCATATCATTGTATCATAGCTGGGTGATCGTCATACTTTACTCCGAGTGACAGCAAAGTAGTAGTAGTAGTGTGTGTACAAACTGACTGAGCAGAAACACATCATACTTCCCATCTCGGCACCGCAGCCTTATGAAAATGAATCCCGTAGGTATATGACACAGTTTAATGTCTTATACTACTAACTCTGTTTTAGGTACAGTCACTCCAAAAGGTATCTTTAAGATTTTGTATGAGACAATATGACACAACCGACGAAGGATTTTGACAACCCTACCGAGACAAGAGGAGCCGCAGTGTTTATTTTGAAATTCATCGGACCCCTCTGTAAAGATACCTTTTGGAGTGATTGTACATAAAGGGGCAGTTTGGCCAGCAGTGCACTCAATCAGCTTCACTTTCCCCAACTGTAAAGTTAGGTACTCAATCACTGATGAGTGAACCAGTAACCCATTGAAAATCTTAAGAGACTTTGTCCATCTAGAAACTAATGTAAATATGCCACGTGTGATAACTATAAACATCCACCAGCAAGTTTATATGCTTTCTTCTCAATAGGATGCAGCCACGTGCTTCCAAATTCTAATAAAAAATCTCAAGACAACATTTTGGAACAATTCGTGCCTGCGATGGAGCACCATATTTTACGATGAAATATATTCAAAAAGCAAAACATGACAGTCAAGTGGAAATATTGTGTTCTCTTCAAATAATTACCAGCGCATGAGTGGAAGGTCATAACTGGAGGTATTAAGGAAGAACAAGATAACTAAGAATGCCTTCCTAGTTCTGGGAAGGATCACCAAGGTGTGATTGGATCCAAGTTTAGTCCTGTATTGCAAAAACTGCGTTAAAAATTATTGTTGCATATTCTGATTCAATCTGGATCCGATCTTTGGTAATAACAAGAAACACTGTAAAACATGCCAGTTATCAGAGGATGCATAATGTATTAATGGCGAAAAGGAATTCAAAGTTCCAGAAATTTATTGAATAATCATAAAAGTCAGTCACTATCTAGAAACTCATAGAATCAAGAAAATTTCCCGAGTGACTTCATATAGCAAACGTGATCCCGATCTTCAAGACGGGAGATAACGGCGACTTACTCAGCGGAGATGCAAGATTCCCAAGCAAGTACAAGAGCAATGATAACTAATACTGTATTTAAAACTGATCTGGACATACATTAAGTGTGGTGTGTTGTGGTGTGTTACGGTCCCTCGAGGAGCTGTAAACTTTCACCCGCCTGGAAAAAAACAATCAAATCAACTCTCTATCCCGCATTACAGTACTCCTATAAAAAAATTCGTAAAGAGAAAGTTGCCACTTATACAGCATCAGTGCAATACATTGGAAGGATCTCAAGGATAGGTTTGTTTTAAAGTAAAAATGCTTATTCGGTGGGAGAGGATCAAATAATGACCATGAACCTACTGTACTGTAGTACCATTAAAAGTGTTCTTACGAAATGGCAACAGTTGTGAGGCTGCGACAGAAACCAACCAAATTTAAACAAATCAATAGATATGTAAGATCATTAAGTTTGGTTTAGTTGGTTCATGTTGTCTGTCATCATTAGGGAGTCTTGATAATAAGGCCATGAAGTTCTGAAGGATAACCGAATATATTTCACATTCCGAAATTTTCTCTCTCTCCCATTGCATTACAATTTTTTTAATATTTTGCCCTTCTCTCCCAAAAAAAATAAGGTGGCAACTGTCTCCTTAATACTTATTAACAATTGTACTCTTCAACTAACAGGAACAACCATGACAATAACATTATTTGCAGTTAACTCCAAAAATATATAAAGATACTTGTCCATCATGCCACAATAAGAGCAGCAGTAGTAATAGTGCTCACCTTGCCATGGTGGTAGAGGAAACCCTGGAGTCACTACTCGTCTTGGGCCAGGGACCATCCTGCCTGAAACAACAATCATGAATGAGGCCACACTTTTGCTTTCATTACTTTTATTATGTACAACCTTATTGATATATAAACAAAAATTCTATAAACAGAAACACGGATAATTACAGCTCCTCGAAATAATTTGACACAGCGAAGTACAAGAACTCCAAGGACTAATTCACTGACAAACATACACTGACAGTCTTCTGGTGCTGTGATTCTAATTAATTTAATTAGGAATAGTTTTCCAAGACATTTTCTCATAAACGTGCGATGCCAAATACTCGTATGCCATTTTACCCCTTACTTCTCCTCATAGTCCTGCTCATTGTTAGGCTTCAGTTATCTTTCTAGGCTCTGGGCTTTAATATACTCTATGTGAGCCCATTGTTGGTGTTTTTATTACTTACTATCATCCTAAGAATATCTAGAAAATTTGAACGAAATCGAACAATGTGTTCTGATGTTACCCAGCTGCTCCAGGAATGGTAAATATTCGCTTAATGGCTGTGGCCCCTTACTTTGACATCACTACATACATACTGTACATAGTTTCTCACAGCAACTGGTCGGAAATATGTGGCTTACGTGAGAAATTCATAAGTGTGAACTCAATTTTCATCCAAAGTTTCATACGAAAATTCCTTCCTCTAAGCGGGAGCCTCCTACAGTTTTACCCAAGGACGTGACATATCCAACATGTCCAACTCTAACTTCAAAATAGTACAAGGCCATAATGTTAGGTCAGCATGGTTAGGTTAGATTAGACTAGGCTTAAATAGTTCAATTTCTGTTGTTAGGTTTAGTTAGGTTAGGTTGTTAGGTTTGGATTTGTTAAATTAAGTTAGGTTAAATTAGATGTACCTTCTTAAGACATTCGTTTAGATTAAGTTAGGTTTCCTTGGATTGTTCCTAAGAATAGGTAAGTTGCTCTTCCAAACTCTTCACTTGTGGTAAATAGCTTACATATGATGCGCTATGGTTTTAAATTTCAGCTTACGATATTTCTTCCATCGCTTCACCAGCTGATACCGTAAACATAGGACGGGAGTGAAGGGATTACAGTTTTATAAAAGTTAAAATTATTCAAATACTCAATTCATGTATCATTCCTAAGCACAATTATGTCTGAATCGTATTCATAATAATTTTATCTATTGTAAGGAAATATCAACAGTTCTTTCGTATGTTTTCACTGGCAGCGGGTGGACCAAGACGCCATATTGTAAACACACTGGAAGAAATTCGTTTATTTCTCATTTAACTAAAATAATATGTCTATGTGTTCCGTTAAGTCCTTGCGATATGTGACTTGTGTGTTTTTCGTGCAATAACATTAAGAGTTTTTAGTGAAGGGAAATAAGGTAATGTTATACAGAGTTAGCTGTTGGTTGCGTTATTGGCTGTTTAGCTCAGGCCCACAGCTATTAGGCTACATCCTTACCGTGTAGCCAACTATACTGTACATTCTCATATTTAACACATCGTTCTTAACCAATACGACCTGTTTTGACCACTACTTACCTCTTATTATATATTCCCTCACCAAAGATGACACCTTTTAACTACACTGTGACACTTGTCTTCTTAACACAACAGCGGCAACAAAACTGACCGCCACGGTTCATGACATTGATTCATAAGACATCTCGTAGCAGGTGCTGGAGTTTCATGGGGGCTGAATGATCTTGTCTCGTTACTGTGAGAAGGCTTCGATTGTATCCCTCTCTTTGAATTTACGAAATAACTGAGTCGCTGGTCTAGAACCCTTGTAATTATTTATTTTTTTCAACTGAAATTATTCTATGCGCATAAGAAACATTTACTCTTCCATTTATAAAGACTATTATCCCATATGAACGAATTCATTGCAACGAACACGTATCACCGCTGGTCATGAACCTCTGAAACATTTCCAAACTCTGTCCTCATTGTCTTGAAGTGTCAGGCAGCTGTGAAGATATTTTGATAATGTTGTTCTTATTCTGTTTAACTCAGTTTATCAACTGAATAAAAAAAATACATAATGAGATAAATACAACTATATTTTATAGTCATATTTCGATAGCAAGTAACAAAAGAAACAAGAGAAAACTTTATTCAAAGCAATGCTTCCTTAGACTTCCACCAGGCAGAACTACCATCACAAATCACCACCAAAGGTTAATGGTACATACAGTACAGTAGTTTGTTTATTACGTTATGTTGGTAGTGATCTGTGTTGGTAGTTTACCAACGCGCTTTTTGCTCTACCATTCTTAGTATCTTTATCATAAATATTTAAAATCAAGTAAGATCATTTTTGTAGTCACCCTGTATATAAGAGAGAGAGAGAGAGAGAGAGAGAGAGAGAGACCGTGTGTGCCTTTCACTGCTTGGCACGTTAAGTGGTGTCTGCACTGAACATGAACAGTAGTGAACAATGGTGAAGTGGTGGAGTCAAGGAGAGTGACCCCCCTCACTGCGCTACTTCATGGTACACCTCCACGACCTCATGGTACACCTCCACTACCTCATGGCACACCTCTACGACCTTATGGTACACCTCTACGACCTCATGGCACACCACTACCTCATGGCACACCTTTACGACCTCAGGTACACCTCCATGACCTCATGGTACACCTCCACATCATGGTACACCCCCATAACCTCTACCGTCTCTCAACTTACATCCATGACCTCTACGTCTGGCACCGGATCTGACCGACTTCCGGTCGGCACGAGAAAATTGTTAACATTATAAGCTTCATTATAAGAATATATTTATATTATCCCCTTATTTCTGAGCCATTAATATGCACTAAAACACTTAATTGTTCTAGATAAGTGCCAAAAAGTGGTGCTATATCGCAAGAGGAAATGTGATTAATGTATACGTTTATATAGATTGGTTAATATCCGGTTCCAGTATCACTTTCACTTTCACCATTCATGACGTTGGGGTGACGGAGTATTTCTTGTCAGAACTTCCCACTCTCCCTCTCAGTCCTTTTTCCACCAGCAGGGAAAGAGGGGCGGCCGAACACCCTCTAGACACGCCATATAATAAAAGTTACTGAACACTGGAGACCTGATTTTCTAGCGTTGTTACTCTGTACTTCAGAAAGGTTGAACCCAGCGTGACAAAAAGTGTTCTATTGTGCAAAGAGCATTCGTCTGTGATTAACAATAATATTCTTTCCGTAAGAGTTAAAGTAGTAGTTACAGCTACAATCACTTGTAACCACTAAGGAAATTAAGACAATTAGCAACGGTTCTGAAACAGTGGATGTAATCTGTGGTGACGCCGTGACGTAAGCAGTGCCACAGTAACCATGACAACCGATGACGCGGCGCCCTTGTCGGCCAATCACACGGCAAGTTCCTCGTCGACCAATGAGACTTTAGGATCGTTCCGCTCCCTGAAGATTTTAAAATCTGATCTTGCCAGTATTTTTAACCAGGTTGATGTGAGCACTGTCGGTAAGGTCTTGCTACTGACGGTGTTCGTCCTGTTGATCTACGACCTACTTGTGTATCTACTGGCGTCCATTTCGAGCAGGAAGAGGCTGTTGGTGACGCCTTGGCTGACCCAGATCCTAGCGAATTCCTGGGACGACCTCAACCAGCGGGGATCTTTCGCCAGGTGAGGTGTTGTAATGGTTCTTGTGACAGAAAGATAAACAGTGACAAACAGACATACAAAGGACAGACAAAAAATACTATGACGACTTAATGAAAAAGTAGACAGAAAAAAGGGTAGTATATTGTAAACAAATAATTATACGTTCAGATTCCAAATAGAAGGAGTCGAGTTAAAAAGACAAAAGCATAAAGTAGAAGATAAAAAATCGGTAAAGATAAACAGATAAACCAACGGGAAAGAGAACTGAGTAAAGGGGGTGTTAAAAAAATTATAATAGACAATGATAACAGACAAGAAACACAAGCAAAACAGAAGAAAAAATATGAGAGGACAGGAGGGAAATTAATCAAATATTTCAATAGAGGGTCAACGTCCTCAGGTCATCCTCACAGTCGACTGACCTGTATAAGGATGTACAATCGCCCAAAACACTACCTTTATAAAATTGTGTTAGATAATGACGCAACGGACGAAGGATTTTGACAACCCTATTGAGACAACAGGAGTCGTGGTATTTATTTTGAAGCTCATCAACCCCCTGTACATGTTAATGACTCTTACCAAAGAAGAAAAACATAGAAGCACAGATTAGTATGAATAGAAATTACTCACCCAAAACTATTGAGACCTAATTAAACCTTAACCTCAACGTTAATCTAACCAAATTTACCAAACTTCTACGCATTTCTTTTTAGGAAATCTATGACCGACCATTGACGATTATGTAGGTCATCAAATTACACTTAAATGAATAGTTTCTTAGAAGAGTTAACCTAACCTAACATTGTATAAATGAGAAAATGTATGTTTAACGTCAAGACCATTAATGCACTTATCGTACTGAGACTTATTTATACATATATCAGTGAGGAAAGGTTGCATTTCTCTCCATCTATGTACACTTGCTCAACGGCTTGTTATTGACCTCTGCTTTTCTATTTAGGTCCCACGATGCGATTGGTCCCTTGTTGAAGTCCCTTGCCCACACCGCCGCCAAGTACGAGGGCAGGTGGGAGAAGAGCAGGTTGCTGTAGGACACTATGTACAGTACATCCTGGAGAACCGTCAGGAGCAGGAGGCTACAGAATATCTTTATCATTCGGAGATCCTTTATAGAACATCACCCATGACTCATATGATTTCCCATAACAGAATGTTGTAGGACATCATCTATAACCTACGATTAGTAATCTATAAAACATCACCTATAACCCGGAGAAACGTGATATTCAGGATGGTGTAAGCATTAACCACATGCAGCAAGTTACAGTAGAACGTCTTCGTACCCTGAACAACTGCTGCGGTGGTGTGGTCCTAAAACTCAGGACAACGCAACAACAACAGTATAAAATATGGGTGGAAACACGAGGATGTTTGAGCTGTGAGAGAGAAAAGGCCTCGTAGAACTTGTAGGAGTTCACGGGGTTGGGAAAGGCCTTACCGATGTATTGATGTTTATCCAAACTAATGTTATATACAATATGTAAATATGAAGTTATTATTATTGTATACCACATAAATTTGCGTTAGTCTCTTTTAATCGTTTCTGTAAAAAAAAAAAATCTTCCTTTTCTATCTTAAATAAATTGAAAATATTATAACATAAGGATGGGTTTTGTAAAGCGTCTACCTATAAAAATATTTTTTACCCTGAATATCAAACAAATGGCATTCACCTTCTAATGATAAAGCTAACAAAACATATATATGGCTTAGATATTGTTCCCATGAACATTATCTTGAAAACTGTATGATACTATGGTTTGGTCTTCTGTTCAGTTAATTTTGTTTATCCAAATTTGCATTGATTCAGCATATGTATAAACAGTGCAGGTATGACTATCCATAAGAGATTTACTTAACTCGGAAACGTTAAGAGAAAGTAAAACAAGTTCGACGATCATTATTATTTAGACTCACACATTCTTGCCGGTGATCATAGTTTTCACATTGTACAGATGCTTGTGTCTCTTACAACTTAAATTGTTGTAATTATTGGCCTATTTACACACTTAAAGACTTTAGTTGTTTAAACACAGTAATAACAATATAACGTTAACTTTATATCTGTCCAGTTGTGCTTAAAATTGTATCCTGTTAAAATGTTTTCCATACTCTTTAAATTATTCCCATAATCCTAAAACCTCATTCATAATACTTATATAAATCCTACACAATGCCTTTTTTCTACTCCTGAAAGTTATCCATGATTTTACTACCTCAACTAAAACAGCGACATTCTCGATCAAAAATTACCTCGCGTCCTAATTATTTGTGAACTTTGTCTCTTTACTACACCAACGTAGTAGCATTAACTGAAAAAAATAAGCTTTACCTCTGTCCGTAGAGATTGTCGAAAAGTACCTTTGTTCGAAGTCGTTTTTAGATTGGCCAAAACATGAAGGAATGACTCACGAAAAAAAATGCTAGAGCCTCTTAAGCCTGTAAGAAAATCCACATGATAATACTCTGGTGTGTAAGGTGTGTTGTATTTTTTTGTCGAATAAACGACGACGGATTTCTGAAGCAGAATATGTAGTTTTGTACGTCTGATCACGAAGGATGAGTAACGATTCGGGGAGTTCAGGATGTAGGTATATATATATTGTAAACCCAACTTCAAGACGATCGACCCAAACATGAAGAAATGATACGTGTGTGTAATAAATGAAGTGAGAGAGAGAGAGCAACAGCGAGAAATAAAAACATCTGCTGCAAAAATGATGAAATGATGTCTTGCAAACAGTTGGTGAGAGAGGGGCATGAAACTAACGACTCCCACCTCACAACACCCCTACCCCCAACCCGGCCTCATTGCACCTCTCCTACTAACTCTTCCCCAGGACATGGGTGGAATAAGTAGATCTAACGGGACCCCGCCGCTGTGACCCGGCTAGCATGAGGAGTAACCGTGTTCTGTGGGATGACGTGACTCTTCAAATCTAATTTAGAAGTATTTCATTATATATATATATATATATATATATATATATATATATATATATATATATATATATATATATATATATATATATATATATATATATATAAGGAAAGAAGAAAACACAAGTTCCCAAGCGCTTTTGTGTTTTTCTTTCTAACATATATCACCGCCTACAGTGATTTACTTGCATATATATATATATATATATATATATATATATATATATATATATATATATATATATATATATATATATATATATATATATATACACGTGTACACAGAATTGAGTCACATAATACACACGTACAAGCACATTTATATGCACACAGAGCGATACAATCTTATTTATGCACATACACTTAAATAAGCACACACTACATGTACAAATGACGCAAAGGAACATTTTTGCACTTCATGGTACACACACGCACACTTACGTACGTTCTATGCCCTTGACCCAAAGTAACCAAGACATAAATCACTTTCATACCCTGTATACGTGACTGTAGGACCAGTCCCTGGCTCGCCCATAACTACCCAACCACGTTTGCACCAAGAATCTATGCACCACAATCAACCACCTATGCCATATGCCAACAACTGTACACCCATAGTCAAAAATCAAAACCACACCACACCTACAACCAACGATTGACAGCACCAACTAAACAGCCCATAACCACCCAACTATGGCCACGATCAATCTACGAGGATAATCTCCAACCACTCACACTCACAATCATCTACCCACATCCACAACCAACCACCTACGGCCACAGCCATCTTCCTAGACTCACAACCGTATACCCACAACCTACAACCATTTACCCACATTTACAGTACAACGACCACCTATACACCCACAACCAACCACTCACTCCCACACCCACTACAAACTTACCACACCCATAACTAATTACCCCACACCCATAACCAACCATCCACGCCAACAAAAAAATATCCAACCACGTTCACAATCAACCTCCCACGCTTAACACGCCCATAAGAAACAATGAATATCCACAAACAATCATCCACGCCCATAACAATCCAACCACACCCACAAGGATCTAACAATGCCCACAGACAACTACTCACGCCCACAACTACCCTTTACCACAACCAAATAACCACACCCATAGCTATTCAACCACGCTCACAAGCAACAACCTCCGCACAACCATCTAATCTTAGCAGTAACCAACCAAACAACCAACTATTTATGCCCCAAATCAATCAACTACGCCCACAACCGACTAACCACGACTACAAACATACAACCACATTCACAGCTATCCAACCACGTCCAAAACTAATCAACCAGGTTACAAACATTTGACCATATCCATAACCAGACTCATCTAAAACCACCCACCCACGCCCACAGGTATATAACAACGTCACCAAGTAGCTGCTCATGCCCACAGCACACCATCCACCTTTACAGTAAATAATTCAAGGCAACAAATAACCAAATACTCCCATAAGAAACCACCTGACCCTATAAACCACCAGTCAATGCACATAACTACTCAATTACGTCAACAATCAATCACTCAAACTACGCTCAAACACCTAACGATATCAAATGTTAACTATAATCACGCCAACGAGCAAACAGTCCACGGCTACAACCAACCACCTCTTCAACAACCAATCATGTCCCCGCAATCAATTATTCTTCACCCCAAAACTCAGGCACACACACACACACACACACACACACACACACACACACGCATAGTTGAAAACCCACCTAAGCAAAGAACCAACCAAGCCCACACAAACAAACGTAATCCACTACTAAGAAAAACAATTCACGCAAAGTAACAATTGACAGTACCCAGTCAGCCGACTATCTACAAAACAACCATCCAGGATTATAAGCAACCACTCAACATCAACCATAGGGGTCATGACTAAAATCAATTACCCACGTCCACAGAAAACGTTCACGCATACAAAGAAAAACGTTCACGTCCACCAAAAAAACGTTCTCGTACACAAAAATAACGTTCACAACCATAAAAGACTCTCACGTCTACCAAAATAAACGTTCACGTCCACCAAAATAACGTTCACGTCTACAAAAAAAACGTTCACGTATACAAAAAAACGTTCACGTCCATAAAAAACCGTTTACTTTCACCACAAAAAACGTTCACGCCCCCAATAAAGAAGATATTCTACCCCAAAAACTTCCATGCCCCTCAAACACCCCCCAAAAAAAATAGCCGATCACGCCTAAAGAAAACGTTCACCCCCACAGTTAGCCACCCACTCCCAAGCCTCGGCCAACTTTCCCTTTCATCCAGTGTCGACGGTGAGGTGCCTGACTCAGCCTCGGGTCTTACACAACCTGGCCACTGCTTGTGTTTGTGGTGCTTGTTTAACCCGCGGGGAGCGCCTCTCTTCGCTGTTATTCTTATAATTGACAAATTTTACTTTTTTTTCAGTGTGATCTCTCTATCTTTTTCGTTACACACACACACACACACACACACACGCACACACACATTATTACATTTCACGCACTGTAAACATTAACATTTTGCATGTGGTTGACTTATATATTTCAATGTAATTTGTGATTAGTTGGCTTTTTTATTTATTGTATCTTATTTATACTGCCGATGCAAACCCAAGAATCTCTGAGTCCAACCAGTTTTGAATAGTTATCTAGCTCTACAGTTTGGGAAGTGAAGGCAGTCTAGTGCAGTGTCAGCCATATTGTTTCATTATATAACGAAGAATTAGCATTGAATCCTTTGAACCTTTTTCATATATCCTCCTATTCGGTTCTATCTTGCTTATCCTACGCCCTGTTTATCACCTTTGTTGCTGAGTGATAATTACTGTGTCAAGTGTTTTATAGCATCGTTTATTTTCGCTGTTACTTATTTCATAAACGTAACGTATAATGATGTATATAAACCCCGAGAAAAATGTGTGATTGACTTATGTATTTTTCAGTTGCCAAAACTAAATATAATAAAACAATTTAACCGCTATACCAATGTATTCTTATGCGTTAAAAATAATCTTCGTCTCTTTTTTATTGTCGTATAACAGAAGGTAAATCTCTGTCAGTGTTTTGTTTCTGCTGCTGCACCGAACGTTAGTGGAACGTGAACCAACATAGCAGTGTTTGATTAGCCCGTGGCATTGATTTGCCTTATACGTCCATGCTTTCGAATTCCTAAGTTACTATATATAGATTTATTTATTTATTTATTGACGAATATAAAGCGACAAACAGCTGTATATCGGTAACTAGACTCTCTCTGTCTCTCTTATTTTTCTTGTTCTTCTTTTACTTTCTCTCTCCTTAATTATTTATCATTTTCTCACTCTCATTTTTTATCCACATCTCAGAACATTGTTTTATTCTTGGTACCTGGTCTGCATGCAACTTTCAAGCTGTGCTTTCACTTTTATGCAATGTCAGTTTTTCCCATCCTCAATTTCCTTCACCCGATGGTGGCCAGATGTGAATGAAGGGTCACTCACTGCTCGCATCCTCCTTTCAGATCCGCCATGTGACGTAATTCATTGTTTATAATACTTCTAGAGCTAACTCGCGACTG